CGGTCCAACGAAATGCCCGAGCGGCTTCCGGATTTTTCGGCCGTGAGTGGTTTCCACTCATGGGTTCGGAAGTGAAGAAGGGACGGTCGACCAGACACCGGACTCCCACTGCCAGAGGACGCGTACCAGCGACCCCACATTGGGTCCGACTGGAGAGTTGTGCGGTACTGGTGCGGTACCGAGTCGGAGCATCCTTCGCAGGAGCTCGGATTCCCGCCCAGAGGCATGTCAGAGGCACACGACTGCGCCTGGTGCATACGGCCCACCATGGACGTATTAGCACTCATGCTTGCCATATCGCCTCTCTCGCTGTACGTATGTGTGCTGCTGCACTGCACTCATATCCGCTGAAGCGGATATACGCGGCGCACACACTGAGCATACTTGCTCTCTCGTCCCTCTCTCGCAGTATGACTCAGCATTCATACGCTCGCGTTGGATTGAGTCCAGTCTGCGCATCATCACACAGCTGATGGCACACAGCACGTGCTTGCCGCCAGTTGCTTCTTTCACGCCTTGGCGAACGCTCAAGAGCTTTTTCTAGCATTCACTTGCTTAGCCATCAGTGCTTTTGGTTCTTGCATTCCCTGCTATTACGCAGTATTGTCCCTTTATTTGTCAATAAAGCACACTCGTGATCTCCTCGCGCTTGCCTGTTACAGTAAATAATTTCGACCACTACGAGTAGACAGTATAACTGAAAAGAATTTCTCAGCTGAAAAATCAAAAATCTGCCTACGCAAAACAACCCAATAAGAGCGTTACGTCCAACTTAACAGGGAACAACATCAACAAACACTATTTCATGTCACGAAGAATCTGCTGGACTAGAAACAGTTGCATAACGGCTTGTTTACAATCCGCATCGCCCTCCTGGACTTCCTTCGACTGCTTACCGAACAACTTAACTAAAATACTTCGGGCTTCGCTACAGTAATCCATATTAAGCGCAAAAACTTGGGACGCTGATTCTTCCAGCCTGTTGATCAACCGTAGCGACATCCGGTCTATTCCACTTTTGAGCACTTGCTTGTGGAGCGCATCAACGACGGACAGCCCGGCTGACATCAGTAGGCGAGCACGAAACACTGCATACTCCGGGTATATCTTCCTACAGACCGTTAAATAGTAATTATTTTCGCAACAGAAGTGCACCTTCCTGCGACATGCGGCACTAGCCCATCATTTCGTAGAACTGCAATGTGTGGATTAAGTTGTCGAAATAAATGTGTATGGTTGTTGCTACATAATTATGCTGAACCGACCAACGTATTTATGTAACAACAACCACACACATTTCTATAGACAATAATATAACAACACGACTATAATTTGAAAGACTAAAATAATAAAAACTACTACTGTATATACAGTTTCTGTTCACAATGCAAATTATACTGCAAAATGTTCGGCATTGCAGTCTGCCTGTTCAGTGTATTCACGTCACTAAATTAGTAGCCCGACAACAATTGTATAACAGCTGTTAATTTGGCCGCATGTTAGATATGTTTGATCCACACAGTACAGCTGTACGAAATGATGGGCATGTCGAAGTACAAGTTTTTAAGGCAAGGAAATTTACCGCACGCAGCCGATCAGTTCGTTGATCATTGTTAAGCCCTCTTCCAAGCGGCCATCGTTGCAATATTTCTGCGGCAATGCCCGACCGCAGACGAAGCGGATGTGCGCATCCGGCTGGAGGATGCCGGTGGCGTCCATCTCTTTACAGAGCTGCAGAAGCATGGACGGGTGGCGCTCCTCGGGGTGGCGCGTGATAATGGTCTCGTGCTGCTTCATGAACTGATGGAACTGCGTCAACCGGGCACCGTTGATGGCGCCACACTCCGAACAGGCTTGCAGTGCACGGCTGTCACTGGGAATTCGGTTCGTGCAGCCCTTCGTTGCGCAGCGTAACGGATTAATTTCCGCATCCTATATGAGAAGCCATGCAATCGGAATACCTGCACTTTGTTTTTAAAAAATTAACAATGGAAGTACTGAGCAGCGTTACATACATATTCTGGCGTGCAACGGCGACATGTACACGGACAACCCTGACGCTTCTCAAATTTAGCTCGACGCTCCGCTCGTGTCATGTCGAATGGCTGCTGGATGACACAGTATCGCAGCTGAAAGGGGATGGCATAAAATAAAACAACATCGTAAATTATTATGGTTCATCGACATTTCGTCGGCCGACACAATGTCGACCGCCACGAGCGCGCCGGCTAAAAAAACCAAACGATAACCTGGGAATCTAATAAACGTAAGAATCCTGATAAAACTAAGAAAACTGAGATGGTTAAGCTACACACTAGTTCGACGTCGTGACGGCTCGACATCGTGTCTGTTCGACGAAGGACAGTCGACTAATGTTCGTCAACGAAATGGCGGGTGACAAATTATCACGTATAGGCGGTAACGGTACTGAGTATTCCGCAATCAGTTATACTGGAATTGGATCGATTTTGCAACGGTAGCAGGCCGATCACGACGCAGGGCTGATTATAAGTCTTGTATGAAACAGAATGCAACTCACATCCGGAAGTCCCGTATACTGTGGAATGTCTTCCACGGCATGTATGACCAGCCGCCGCCCATAGTAAATGAGCTCCACATTGATGTCCCAGCACACCGGCGTCATCTGTCGTGGCGCCTGGGGATATACGGCTAAGCCGATCCGTACGCTGGGGCCATGAAGCGAGTCGAAAATGGAGCGGGCGTGATAGCGGAGAATTCCGTAGTAGGTCAGAACGTCCGCTGCTGGTACATCGATCAACATGGGATTCTCCGACTCCCAAGCCAATAACGTCCTGTTAACGGCACAAACTACTCAGAATGTGTGGCTCACAAATGCAGGTAAAACAATGTACTTGTACTTACGCTGGTGATATGGTTTGCTCGATTTCCGACTGCGCGGGATTGGCTGGCAGCATGGAGAGCAGATCTTTGGCAGAAATCCGACCCATTCCGGGAATGTCCATCATCGCGTTCAACTATGCAAGAGGGGAGATGCAAGTAGTTCAGAATCGTGATGATGACAGTCGCATTTTTCCACTCTTCTTGTCTCCAGAAATAACATTAGTCAAAACCAACAAGTTCTCACATTGCTTCTACCTTGATTTTGTTGGCTAATTTTGCGATAAACTCTTGAGGCACGTCCAGACTGCTGCTGTCCGAACGTGCGCCCGCTGTTTCGCCTGCTCCAATGTTGCCGCAATTCGCAGTCTGCAGCAGGGTACATTCCAGTTTATGCTCCAGCTTCCAGTCAGCCGACTACACAACAAATCCAATCTCATATGAAATGTGCCAGTGCTACTCGAAAACAAACTGTATCGTCATACCTGGCAAGCGGCGCTGCAGTAACGGTGCAGTTTGCATCTGGAACAGGTGAGTAGTTCCGGACACTTCCTCAGACAATAGGCGCAGCGTGTTTTGTAGGCGCTACTGTCCAGTATCCACACTAACGGATCGCAGCGCATGACAACATCGCCAGCCGCGAAAGAACGCACAGTCTCCTTTTCTTCCATCATGAATGGGTTTTTATAATACAGTATAAAGATCAATGGAACAAGAATACACGTTAAAATTAATCAGAGCACGTTAAGCAACAAAATTCCAGTGCAACGAAAATCTGATACAAATCATACAATGGAAATTAAAAAATTAATATTACGGTTAAAATAAGTTAAAGTGCGACAGTGAAGTACAGTTCACCGCACAGTCTAATACGCTGACTTGCCAGCGGTCAACGGCTCATGGACTGAGTGAGCGCCGCATATCCGTCGCCATCGCTATCGCTTCTGACAGATCAGTAATCGCGTTAGCCAAGCTCTGTATGCTCTCTTTCTCGTGTCTCCTCTCTGAGGCGGCTCTCTCCTCTCTAATTCAGTTGCGCAACCGGATATAGCACCAAAATTTTCTTCCACTGTGCCCGTGAGCAGATACGTACACAGTACGACGAGATATCTCGTATATAACTGATAAACGAATTCTTTCCGACCACTGCAAGCATGCAGATTTCCACAGGCTTACCATTTTCAAATGCAATAAAAATGGCAAGCGGTATGTTTCAAGACCAGTTTTGTTTCGCAGGTCTTTCCCATGTACAGTACCAGACCATCGACGCCTTTCCGTGCCAGACGGCAGCGGAATGTGGGATGGGATGAAAACTTATGTTGATCTTCTTCCGTTTGACAACTTGGGAGAAATTGCAGGTCGGCTATTTATTATTTGCTTACACATGACAGAAGCGCTATAATATTCATTGTCAGTACTTAATGCTAGTCCAAAGACATTAATTTTGACTGCTGACCACATACCGCAGCTCCGACATTTCGCTTCCTCACAAATTAACAATAATCAAGAGTCAAGACCTTAACAGCACACATGTATGATGTAAGCACCATTTGCGCTGCCTTTCCGCTGTTCACCGGTTCCGGTAGGGCTCCATTTCCCATTTCGCACTCGCTTCTGCAGATCAGTATTCAGTAGCAACTGCAGTTTTTGTGCTGTAGAATTCCGACTGAAACTTAAACCGTTTTGCCGGAATTAAGTACATTACTTAAAAAAACAGCACTATGAGTGCAACAGTTTCTTCCGCCCGTCCGGCAGCCTCTTTTTGTGCTTACCTTAAATTCTGTGTTTCCGTTTCGCTAACCGTTCCCATATGGAAGGTAGCGTCTGATTTAATAGCAATCGTAGTGGTATTGTAAGGTTGTTGCTTAACTGTTCTCAGAAAGATATGGTACTGCAGAGTGCCGACACGTATTCTTCTTGATAAATTTTCGGGCTATTTGTACTGGAGAAAAGAGTAAACCTTTTTGTCAACGAAACTATTTAGTTTTCCACCCATACTTTACTGCAAAACAACTCTACAGTAACAACAGTAATTTTCAAAACTACTTTTATCATAGGTACCATGTGTGTACAAAGAAGACTTATAAGAACGCCCGCACAGGTTCCGAACGGAAGAATACAATTATGATACGCTTTTCACACTATTTGCGGTCCCGAAAGGCTTTCTCGATGTCGCGCACGATAGCATGGGCCAGTGCGATCATACTGTTGTCCTTGATAGTCTCCTTCGAGTTCTCACCATACAACCGACGCAAAATGTCGCTGGCTTCGCGGCAGTAATCAGAAATGACAGCACACGCTTGGTCGGACATGGACTTCAGTTTTTGTCTGTTCTTTGCTGACAGCCGACCAATCTGCTCCTCCACGAGTTGCTTTAGACAGGCAGCAGAAGATACTCCAGCCAATGACAGCCGCATCGCGCGAAAATAATCGTATTTTGGATAAACGTCCCTGCAAGACGTAAACAAAACCCATTAGAAGAACTAATTCTCCAGACATAAACATTTTATTTAATTTACTTTATTGATCTTCTAGAATAGCAGCTATGCTTTTCCCCAAAACATACCGCATGAACACAATCAACTCCTGCGTCATCTTCCAGCCCTCCTCAAAGCGATTCTCTTTATACAGTATCTGCGGTAATTCCCAGCCGCACATGTAGCGAAGATGCGCCCCGGGCTGCACAATACCAACAGCGTCCAATTTCTTGCACAAATCGACCAGCAGATGCATAGCCGAGCAGAATCCCTCGGGAAAGCGTGCCTTAATGGCCTCGTACTGCGCCATGAAATGACGGTACTCCTTCAGCCGCTCCTTGTTCAACGCACCGCATTCGATACACGGTTGAAGAGCACGAATATCGCTCGGAATGCGATTCGCGCAGCCCACGGTAATACATTTCAACGGATTTATATCAGCCTCCTGAAACAGACAAAACTCTAAAACACCACTGGATAGAAAACTAATACACGGAGGAAATATTACTCATTAGTAGCAACGGTAGGACTTAATGCGTTTAACATAATACAAAACCGGTTTTTTCAATTATGAATGATGAATGCCTGTATTAAAATGGTACATATTGGGTCGTTAGATTGATGACCTACATATTCTGGTGTGCATTTCCGGCAGTTGCAGGGGTATCCGTGCAGATTCTCGAACAAAACGCGCCGCTCAGCTCGTGTGAGATGGTATGGTTCTGGCATGTTATTGTATCGCAACTGCAAAGAAAGAAAATTAATTTTCTAGCCACAGCTAAACCATCAGCACTGCAAAAAAGCTGTTTCATTAAGCTCCTTGGTTTGTGACACTAACTGACATCTTTCAGTCCGGTATAGTTGGGAATATCCTCCATCGCGTGAATAATCAAACGTCGTCCACGGAAGCTGCACAACACATTCTTATCCCAACAGACCGGCGTCATGAGGCGAGGGGACGCCAGAGGATACACTGCTATCCCAATGGGCGCCGGATCGTTCACCGTATCCAGGATGGGCACAGCGTTGTGGTCGACATTGGAGTAGTATTCCACGACGTCGGTTAGGGCAATATCCATCGGTCGGTTGGGATTAGCCGCTCTGTTGAAATCGCAACACTGCATGTTCCAACCAATCGTTAATCGTTATGAACGCAGCGGCACTGATATCTTACATTTCCATCGTGGTCTCCACCAAACCCAATCTGGGATGAGACGGTAGCATGTGCCACAGTTCCCGGGCGGATTTTCGGCCTATTCCCGGGATATCAGACATCGGATTCAACTGAGAAGAAAACCAAACATCAGCTCAACAGAAATCTTGATATACGAGTACAACCATACCGCTTTTTGCTGCGTGTTTCCAACGATGAACTCACGAGACGGAAATCGAAAAACAGAAAAACAATCTTACTTTGAGTTTATTGGCCAGCTTGACGATGAGTTCTCGCGGTGTCTTGAGGAAGTACTGCATAGAGCTGCCCGATGGTCCGCCCGTCGCTTCCATGCTACCACCCGTCGCGGTCTTCAACAGAGCGCATTCCAGCTTGTGCTCCATTTTCCAGTCAGCGGTCTAACAAAAAACCGGAAGCTGCTCAAGGCGTTGAATGAATATCTGCGCAAGAATGTACCAAGCCAGCAAGCTTTTTGTGACTCGGTACTGAGTGAACGACTGTCAGTCACAGAAGTAGCTTGTAAGCAAGGCAGAAAACTACCTCAATGTCATACCTGACAAACTTTGCTGCAGTACCGATGCAGCTTGCATCCTGAGCAGCTGCGCAGATCCTGGCTTCTTTGCAGACAGAAGACACAGCGGGTTTTGTAAGCGCTCCTTTCCAGTGCCCACACCAACGGCTCGCAGCACAGTACAACATCGCCAGCTTTGAAAGAACGGCTGCCAACGGTCTGCACAGTCTCCTTCGTCTGCAGACTCTCCATCATGAACTCCCGGGCTTTTATACAATATTACACAATAGAAAAATTCTGAATCGTTCGAGACCAATCTTACACGAAATGCAACGAAATAGTGCAAGAACCAAATCTAGCACGAAATGCAGTGAATCTGAAACGTGTCATCTAGCAAAAGCAGCAACGTCACTGTCACGCCCACCACGACCTACAGTATGTACAGGATACCAGGACGTGCGTACGTACTGTGCAGGCTTGGTGGTACGTGCGGTCGCCGTGCGCGCACTACTGCTAGGGGTTTCCGTGAAAGGGAAATGATTCTACAACTCTATAACTACTCGTTAATTTGAGTTGTATTTGCAGAGTTAAACTACTCATGATTTCAACTGATGTGTGTTATTTAAATTCTGACTGACAGCCTAGCTCTGTACTGTAATCCCTTCACTCCTGACTCGTAAGTAACGAATTTTGTAGGTATCACGCATTTGCGACATTTTGTTCCATTTCGTTCCCTTTTGTCCCCGTCGCGAGCACGGGTAGCCGGCAGGAACGGATGGGTGGATGTTCAATGCTATCGTGTCAACTAGGATAGTTTTTCAAGTTACCGCAAAATTTGCATCAATAACAAATGTGCAAAAGGATTAACCGGATCGATCTTAAAACTTAAATTGGGAAGTGCGGAAGGACTTCTTCAGTCACGCGCTGCGCTTCGCACTCTGAATTTTCAATCTCAAAACAACTCTCTAATAATGACATGGTCTCCGGTACATGGAAAACGACTCGGTTCATTCACAAATTATTATATAGAAGTACACTCGCAAAAACCACCAAAATGCAGCCGGTACAGTAACCTACTTCAGATACACCGTACACACTTTTCACGTTATTTGCGTTCAGAAAAGGCTTTCTCGATGTCACGAGCCATAACATTGGTTAGCGCGACGATAGTGATGCCTTTGATGGCCTCTCTCGAACCATCACCAAACAACAAGGTGAATATTTCGTTGGCTTCGCTGCAGTAATCAAGAATAACTGAAAACGCTTGGTCGGACAACGTTTTCAGGTCCTTCGTTTCCGCTGCTGACAGTTGGCCAATCTGTTCCATGACTCGCTTCTTTAAAGCTGTTGCAGTCGATACTCCGGCAATCACCAGCACAACAGCGCGAAAATGTTCGTATTTTGGATAGATGTTCCTGTGAAATGGATAGATTTTCCGTTGAATGGACTCGCATTTGTATTGTATTTTTTTCATCTTGTTTACAGGTGATTTATATAGTTTTGGAAATTCACGTACCGCACGAACACAATCATTTCCTGCATCATCTTCCAGCCGTCTTCGAAGCGGTTCTCGTTGTACAGTTTCCTGGGCCATTCCCAACCACAGATGTAGCGGATATGCGCATCCGGATGGAGAATGCCGGCCGCGTCCAGTTCTTTGCAGAGTTCGAGAAGCACCGCCGGGAGATATTCTTCAGGACAGCGCGCCTTTGTAACCTCGTGCTGCACCATGAACTGAACGTACGCCATTAACCGCTCATAGTTCAGTGCACCGCAGTCGGTACAGGGTTGCAGAGCACGGTTATCGCTTGGAATGCGATTCGCGCAGCCAGCGGTGATACATTTCAACGGATTTATATCAGCCTCCTGAAATAAACAACCGCTTGCCGCAATTCTGAAGTGGGAAGCGATAGTTGCTGCATACATTTGACTATGGCGACCAGTTGGTAACTCGGTCCCATATTACCGCTCAACGCACTGAAGATTTTAGCCACGTAAGTGCTTTAACTTTAAAGTGCCTAAAGTTCCGTCCGTACTAAATTTTTCGCGTTGCTGCTTTTTTCATATGCGATCTGGATGGGAACCGCTGTTTCGGGATGGTTATTATTGATTACGCACGCAAAAATGGATAAGAATAACGTTTTCGATGGTTCTCTTGCCGAAACGGGGAACTGACGACGGGCGTCCGTCTCACCACTGTCATTGTTTTCCGTTAAGTGAAACAGTACAAGAAGTTCACTTAACGGTAATTAACTTAAATTGGGACGCAGTATGTATTCTGCGCTTTATTAAACGTGGCCTACAGCAGTCAGTGCCACCATTTTTGTTAACTTCGGATTCGTATTTCGGGGAGGGTCACCATAAGTTCAATAACGGTACGGCATGACACGGAATGGAAGCTTTATTCTGTGGGGGGGCTTTTCAATCTGGAAGGGTCATTGATAGCTAAAAGATAACGTGATTCGTTTGAAGTGGAGCTTTAGTCGTACAGTGTATGGCGTACGTTTTGTATGCCGGCTACGAAACCGGGTTTTGAGATTGAAAACTGCTCTACTGCACTGTGGTACGACCGTATGAGCTCGAGCCACCCGTAAGTCGTAATTAGTAAGCAGTACACATTGCATTCTATTGAAGTGAAGTAGAAAGTAGTCCTCATTCCGCATAATCTGAACTTATTGGACCATCACAACAATTACGTACATATTGTCGGGTGCATTTCCGGCATGTGCATGGATATCCGTAAAACTTCTCGAATACAGCGCGACGCTCAGCTCGTGTCTGATGATACGGCTCCCGTATATAGTCGAACCGCAGCTGCAAGGAAAATATAAAAATACTAATTATATGGATGCTCCTGCACTTGAGACTTTTTACTGATAATCATTATCGGATGCAAGTCAATCAAAAACCTGTAACAGCCATTCACTGACGTCTTTCAGTCCGGTGTAGTTGGGAATTTCCTCCACAGCATGGATAACCAACCGTCGTCCGCGGAAGTTCAGCACCACATTCTTGTCCCAGCAGACCGGCGTCATCAGACGAGGGGAAGCCGGGGGATACACCGCCATCCCAATATGCCCCTTACCCTTCGCCGCATCCATGATGGGCATGGCGTTGTGCTGGATATTGACGTAATATTCCACCATCTCAGGCAAGGTAATGCCCAGTGGTGGATCCTCAATGGCTGCTCTGTACGAATTCAGATTTTTCTACTGTAGTAATTTCTCGCCCGGTCAAAATCAAGCGTTCTGAATGCCACAGAATGTACTTACATCTGTCGCGTGGTGTTTTCTTGCCCTAATTTGGGGTGAGAGGGTAGCATCTCCCACAGTTCCTTGACGGATTTCCGGCCTAATCCGGGAACATCGATCGTCAGGTTCAGCTGAGAAAAAAATTAATTTAGGTGAACAAAAATCGGGCAGTGACAGGGGCTACCTCCGGCTTGAAACATCTATCGTAATCGTTTATATTTGATAATAGCATAAAGTACTTTAATTCACCTTGATTTTGTTTGCCAGCTTCGCAACAAGTTCACGAGGTATTTTAAGGACTTGCTGCGCAGTGCTGTTCGTCGACCCGGGCGCTGTTTCCCATTTAGCACCAGTCGCATTCTTCAGCAGAGCGCATTCCAGTTTATGTTCCAGTTTCCAATCTGTTGACTATATGAAACAGCCCATGCTATAATATTCTGGATGAATTTCAACCCGATTGGTCGCATACTGTATGGATGACGTCTCGATATCTGGATAAGCGCAGAAGCTGCCAGTGACACTGAGCGGAGCTGACAGTCAGTCAGACACTGAAAATAACCTCCACCTCCTACCTGGCACTCAACACTGCAGTAGCGGTGGAGTTTGCATCCTGAGCAAGTGCGTAGTTCCTGGCTCGCATGCAGACAGTGAGCACAGCGTGTTTTGTAGGTGTTGCTGTCCAATACCCACACCAAGGGTTCACAGCACATGACAACATCGCCAGGCTTGAAAGAACGGCTGCCAGTTGTCGACACGGTCTCCTTCGTCTCCATGATGAATTCGCGACTATTAACAAATTTTCACAATGAACAAAAAGAGAAGCTACCACAAAGCGCTGTGAAACGAAACCAATTTTCCAGAATGTAAGTGCTTGTACTGAAAATCTGAACATGAGTACTTACTGTACTGTTTATTGAATATCGACTACTGAGGCTTGTAAACGTTATAACTAACTTACTGTAACGATCGGTTGGAAAAGGCAGACTCTGCGGTCGCCGTGCGTGCACCACTGGTAGGCAGTGGCGCTCGAAATTTCCTAACGTAACCGACGTAACGGAGAACTTTCCTGCCGGCACTCGCCTTCTTCTATCTTGGGGGGCGTTATGTTTGTGTTATTTAATTTTAGGAATTTTTTGTACTCTTTCGCATTTCTGGTAGTGGTGAATCAAACAGTGGCGTTGGCCGGTTTTGCTTTTTGGCGATGTTATGCTTCTAGTTCTGGCATTTCAACAGCGTTTTCGCATTGACCCGGCTTTTTTTCGTTAGGAGTTTTTCCGATGGATAAACAAATAGTGGTTGTCATCTCTTACTGCTTTCCCTCGCGCTCGAGTGTGGATATATGTTATTAATATTATCGCTTCATCAGCAGCTTTACAGGAATGCACTAAGGATATTTACTAACTGAAAATCTTAAATTACATGGGATCTGTTCTCCCGGAATAGTTGTACTCTTACTGCTTACAAACTGTACTCGGACAGAAGAAACCACGTGTACTAGCCCCTTCGTTTACTGTAGTCAACAATTTATTCGAGGATCGGCTAGGTGGCGGTCTAAAGGTAACTTTGTATTACCAGCGAAGTTTCTCCATCTTCTTCTTATAAAAATGAAGTCAGGACAAAATCCATTTACAGAAAACAACCGTGCACGCAAAGAATGCTACGGTTTTCGCACGGGCTACGGATAAGAAAGGTATCTTGGAATGCCGCGCACAAAAGCGTTGATCCATGCAAATACATATTGTGGCCTCCGATGGCTTCCTTTGAACGCTCACCATACAGCAAAATAAAAAGATCCCTCGCTTCTCGATATTAATCAAAAATAACAGAGTACGCTTGGTCTGATATTGTCAGCAAGTGGCCTACATCAATCAACTTATCGCACGCAAACAATCAATTCTGCATCATCTCCAGCCCTTCTCAAAGCGGTTCTCATCGTAAATTTTTGCGGCAATTCCCAGCTACAAACGTAGCGGATTTGCGCATCCGGCTGCAGGATGCCGGCAGCGTCCATCTCTTTGCAGAGATCGACAACCATGTGTGAGTGGACATCTTTCGGAAAGCGATTTTGATGGCTTCGTATTGTGCCATGAAACGACGGTGCTCCTACAACGGCTGTGGGTTCACGGCACCACATTCGGCTCAGGGTTGCTTCAAACTTCAAAAAATTAACATCCGCTTCCTGAAACGAAACGCGGATCGACTGAAGTTAACTCTGGCTTATTTTTATCTAGTTGTGTTACGGTTTGGAACTGTGTGATAGTACTTGCATACGACAGCTTATGAATAAATTTATTTATTGCCTTTCCTAAGGAGTGTGTTACAGATTTTAGTTACTGTAGGAAAGGCATGGCGATGTTGGCGTATGTAACCGTCTAAAACAATCCGGACGTCTCGAACGTTGCGGCGGACATGTTGGAAAGGATAGATGTAACGTTTGATGTTTGCACACGTTTGACTGTTTGACCGCATTTGTTGTTTTATTACTGGAGTGGCTGTTATCTAATAAATTTCCGTTACTGCGATGCCAGATTTGTTACAGATTGTGGACAGCACTTCCGGCACGTGCAAGGATATCCGTGCTTCTCGAGTTTGAACGACGCCCGGCTGGTGTCAAATAGTACGGTTCCACAATGTCATTTTATCGCAACTGCAAGCAAAAAACGCCCGAAATTTAGTTGTGACCGTCACATTCGCGTTTATTTTCAAAGCTGCTTAGATAGCTGCAACTGTTAATAGCACAACGGTGGCACTGTATTTACATCGTAGGTCCGGCGTAGCATCCACCGCGAAAATCTAGAAATATCCTCCACCGGAATATCCTCCACCGCGAAAATATAGAAACGCCGCCCGCGGAAACTCAACACCACATTTACATCCCAGCAGACTGGCGTCAAGAGGCGAGGGAACGCCTGAGGGTACACCGCCATCCCGAATGGCCCTACCATTCAATACATCCACGTTCGGTATGGCGTTGTAGCCAGTTTTTTCGTAAAACGCTAGCATGTCGTTTCGGCTCGGCAATGATCGCTTTGAAAGTATCAAACTTATACATATACTGTACCTTCCACTTAGTCAACAAACATTCCTCATGGACGTCAAAGATCTTTATAGCACACATCTCCCATGCGGTGTCCATCTGCCCTAATTGAGGGTTTGAAGGTAGCATCTCCCGCCCGTCCATCAGGCGGCAAAAACAACTACACCGAGAGCTTGAAAAGCGTTAAAGCCATCGTGGAGTGCAACTAATCGTGGAGCTGATTAAGTAAAAAGCAAAACAGTCGTTTTCGATGTGTTTGTTGCAATGTGTTTACAGATATATTCCAGCACTGCGATTTTAATAGTGTTTTTCAGTGCGATGACTGTGGTGTATGACGAACGACCGGAAGTACGTACGGATATCTTGTGATTATTGCTGATATTGTTGTGACCTTATGTACGTAGCAACCGGGCATGCAAAGCCTCGGTTACTACGTTAGTGTATTCAGTTGACTCTTTGCACTATTACGAAACAGTGATACTACTAATAAAGTATTAGACCGTAGACATTACAATGACTGCGATCAGAGCAATGTGCAGATTAGAACACATTTCTGCTTTGATGAATAATTTTTTTCTCGGGGATGGTGGTGGTCTGCATTGTGAATATTGTACAAGCTTGTCCGGTAATTTCCTACGTAAAGGTACAAACAGCACATATTTAGCGCTGAGTTTGTCCTATGGCAATTGCCACTACACTACGTCGTAAATTTGTGAATTTCGCTGTATTGATTCGTAAGAAATTACCGGACAGGCTTGTACCTGTACTGACAACAACGCAAGATACAGTTTAAGATCCAGAGTGGCATGCCGCCAAAATTAATCAGATTTTAAACCACCTATAAGATGTACTAGTACAAACTGAAAAAAACCACGTTGCGGAAACATCGATTTGGAAGATTCATTCTCACCACAACACTCATCAATTTTGGTAACGCATAATGTAGTCGTTAGTTGTACTCGTATTAACACCACAACTTCTTGTTTAAGAATAGCTGCACGACGTTCTACGCAGTACGCAACATGCGCGGTGTCCAGCAAACGAAGACCTGACAGTAGTGGCACTTTATCTACCAGATACAGTACATAGTGAATTCCATTCGAAAGCGGGGAAGGTTTATAGAATAGCAGAGTTTTCTTCCATGAAGAGAAATCAAAATCGCAGTCAAATGAATACTGCTCCACACCTTAACAAGGTCGACTTAGATCTTCGCACAATTCTCTGGTTACTTGCGGCCGTGAAACGCATGCTCGATTTGGTAAATGTGTGTAGACACACTTTGTATCACAGTCAGGCTGGTCCGAGCCTCCTTTGACTGCTGACCAAATAGCACAACCAAGATATCGTACGCTTCCTTACAAAAATCGAGAATACGACAGCACACGTGTGCCGCCAGTGCTTCCAGCTTGATTTTCGCCGGTTCTGACAGCCGTCCCATCCCTTGTACAAGCACCCGTTTCTGCAGAGCAGCAGTGGCGGCAGTTCCCGCGTTCATCAGGAGAACTGCGCGGATGACTTCGTACTTCGGATAAACGTCCCTGAAAATATTATCAGTATACCGTACAGCATAAAGATACCAGTTCAGTACCATATGTTATAACGCAATGCACCCGACGTTTGGCTTAAAACTACATAGCCAAGGAAGGCTGGAGGCTGGAATTCTTTCTGAGATAAGGCAGTTTTATCAAATAAACTCAATCAAGTGTACTTTTTTAGAAAACCAAAAAATCTAGACTGCTTTTCCTATGGTTTGGTAAGATATCTCAGTAAAGGAGTTCAGCTACAAGAGTGAGATATTACCCCTGACATTAATCATATTATATCATTTACAGTCGGAAGCCTTACCGCATGCAGTCAACCAGTTCATCCATCAGCCGACAGCCCTCTTCACATCGTCCTTCCTCAAGGTATTTCTCCCACAATTTCCATCCACACACATAACGGATATGCGCATCGGACTGCAGGATACCGGCAGCCTCTATTTTCTCGCACAGCTCCGTAATCTTGGCCTGGTTATGCTCCCGTGGTAGACGGATATCGATAATTGTGTCCAGCTGCTGCATGAAGCGCCGAAACTGCGCCAACCGGTCCCCGTTGAGGGCGCCGCATTCCGAACACGCGCCACGTGCACGACTGTCGCTGGGAATGCGATTCGAACAGCCCATCGTCACACATTTCAGCGGATTAACATCCGCATCCTACGGAAGGACAAACAAAAATAAATCAACAGCTAAAAACAATCATTCTGTCTAAAAGCGTCGGCAAAGGTGTACGTACATATTCCTCCGTGCATTTGCGGCACGTACACGGATATCCATGATACTTCACAAAAGCAGCGCGACGCTCCGCTCTGGTTTGGTTGAACGGTTCTTGGACGGCTGTGTAACGCAGCTGGAAGCAATAGATTGTAACAATCTTTAGTCTCATCAATTGACTCATTTAGTACTGCCGTGTAGCTTGCGTCTTCAAATCTTCGTAAGGCTTGCGAACCTTATCGCAACACCAGTAAATGCCAATGTGGAAATTTTACCAGGCTTACATCTTGCAGTCCGGTATATTCTGGAATGTTTTCCACCGCATGCACAACAAGCTGCCGACCGCGATTATTCAGCACCACATTGATGTCCAAGCACACCGGCGTCATCTGGCGCCGCGATGCCTGCGGATACAGCGCCAGTCCGATACAGGCACTGTCCTCCAGTACGTCACACACCGGCATAAAGTTGTAGTGGATGATGCCGTAATACTTCAGGAAGTCCATTAGCGGCATGTCGAGTACCGTGGCATTTTCCGTCCCACTACCCGTAGTGATCCTTCTACACCAGCCATACAGATCTGCTGTAAACGGTTTCATGGATGCTGCAAAATAGAACCTACGTGGGCAAGAGAATCCGTTCGGTGGACGATTGCGCGGGATTTGGTGGCAGCATTTGCAGAAGATCGTGGGCTGATTTCTGACCCAATCCCGGAATGTCCGTCGTCGTGTTTAACTGGAAAAAAGCAGCGTATGGGCAGCAAATACACGATTAACCGAGCACAAACAAACACAGAAGGTCCAACGGTATATTAATTAAATTTTTGGAGTGGTTTATGGATATTGTTTTGCGAGTGCTTGATTATTATTAAATAAGAATTTAATAATAATCAAGCACTCGTTGTGATTATATATTATTACAATCCCAAAACAACGTTCATATATCACGCCAAAAACTGAACAAATTTTGTTCAACAGGTTTATCGAGAACATATTCCAAATAACTAATTTTTCCAAGAATGTGCTCTAAAACGTTTATAATGTAAATACACAGACCAATCGAAAAGTTTTGGAAACGTGGATTTTATTTCACCTTACCTTAATTTTATTGGCCAACTTGGCAATCATATCCAAGATTATGGGAAAAAGCGACGATTCTCCTTCAGGCAAAAATGCCACGATGCTTATCAACTCCTTGTGTGTTCCGCTGCTTTTGCTGCTAATTTTCTTCAGCATGGCGCATTCCAGTTTATGCTCCACTTTCCAGTCAGCGGCCTACCAAACAATTAATAAAAGTACCACTGCAATCAAGGGAGCGTACTTGCTGAATTTCTCCCGCCCTGCGTGCAAGGAGAGCGTAGACGAAACCCCCATCTCACGGGCAAAACAAATCCGTGACAGGTTAAACTCTCCATGGAAAACTCAAGCCACACACGACTTGTACAATATACCGACTGGAGTGATACTGTATTAGGTTATTTGAGCTAGTCAGCAACTCAGCGTACCTGGCAGGTGGAATTACAGTAGCGATGCAGTTGACATCCTGAACAAGCTCGCAACTCTGAGCTCTCCTCCAAACAATAGGCACAGCGCGTTTTGTAGGCGCTCCGCTCCAGGGCCCACACCAAAGGATCACAAGCTATGACCAGGTCGCCACAGGCAAAGCTTCGCCTGCCAGCGCTTGACGCAGCTTTTGCAATCGCCATTTCGGGAAAGAAGGTACTCAAGGTAATTTGATAACCGAAAAGGAACTCAAATAAGGTAACTCTGGGTATAATGTAACTTATGTAAGTAAGAAAGCGTATAATTAGCCACCACTTTCCCAAAATAAAAGACAATAATTATGCGATCTGCCAGAAACGGCTGGTGTCACGAAAAGGCATCAGTATGTGGTAATAAACCGTAACCGAAAGGGGTAACCGAGGCTGCGCTGGCGTACCATGTCGGCCACCATGGATTGGCAGTGTGGCCCAAGCTCGACGACGCTGCATCACTTGGCTAAGTTGACTTTACTGTTAAATTGTTAATCGTACAGTTCCTCGTTTATAAAATTCTCCATACAAATATTTAGAAAGATAAAAAAATTATTTTTCATATGATCACATCCAGGAAATTATCCAATGTACGTGGCGGATAAGTGCCCGTGCGCCCTCGATGGAACAACCTGGAAACACCAGTTTACTGGCGATATTGCCGCCACACCCAAAACAAATCAACTGGAACAAGCGGATTCTGCAGACAGTACGCACAAAGCATCCGGTCAAAAAAGCACAAAATGCGGGGACAGAAGTCCCGAAAAACCAAAAGCACAACAGTGAACAGCAAGCCAGGTCAGCGGAAAGAAGCCCGCCCTGGAAAATTATTAAGCCATCTCGCACTTTAAGCCAGTACACAAGTAAATAACATATGTACTCGAACTACCCATTTCTCGGTTCTCGAATCAATTACCTGCCTGCATCAAACTTATGTTTTTTAGTACTAGTTTGTACTTTCATGTGATACTTACTGAAGGTCCATCCACCCCATTACCTGCCTGTACAAAAACGGTAATGCAGCTAAAAATACCGCCAGGGGAAATGTAACAAGAAACACACTGGACAACGTCAAAAACATTATTTGCGGCTGAAAAGAGCCTGCTGAATGCGGCACGCTTTCACGTATACGTGCTTACAAGTCGCAAGGGCTTTCTGGGCCTCGTTGCACTGCGTGCCAAACAACTTAACTAAAATATCCCTCGCTTCTTCACAATAATTCTTCACCAGTTCACACACTTCAATGCTGGCCGTTCGGGACATCGGATCCGCCTTATTCAGCATTCAGCAATCGCTTTTCGAGCGCATTAACGGCCGACCATCCCGCTAAAGTCAGTTCACGCGCACGAAACACTGCATACCTTGGGTAGATATTTCTGCAAAGAGTTCTGGTTGAATAGCGAATGAAACATCATTGGTGATCGTTAAGGTGAAAACTTACCGCACGCAGACAATCAAATCCTCGATCATCTTCCAGCCCTCTTCATAGCGGTTCTCATCGAAGTATTGCTGCGGTAGATCCCAGCCGCAGACGTAGCGGAAATGCGCATCCGGCTGCAGAATGCCGGCGGCGTCCATTTCCCGACAGAGCTGCAAGGCCACGGCCGCGCGGCGCTCCTCTGGGTAGCTCGTCCGGATCTTCTCATGCTGCTCGGAAAATTCACGAAACTTTTGCAACCGGTCACTGTTGATGGCACCGCATTCCGAGCAGGCCTGCAGGGCACGGCTGTCGCTGGGAATTCGGTTGGAGCACCCCTTCGTTACGCAGCGTAACGGATTAATCTCGGCATCCTGTGGGAATATCCAGTAGCGCAAATTACCGAAAAAAGCCGAATATTAAGCGTAATTAATTAAAAGTGTGCAAGCCCGGTGATTTATTTCCTGCTCAAACGTACTGTAGAGCGAGAATTGCAGATTCATGGAATACGCTAAGCTCCATAGCCAGCCACTCCCCAATCTTTACTTTACGTTTGGCAAGACTGATCACTGATGCACGTCACATATGGATATCTTACACGCATCTTTATGTGTTTGCGAATTTATTACCATGATAATTCATTGTAGAATCAAATTACTTTTTTCATTGCGCTGATTGTAAAATAATGGATGCTTTCTACGCAGCAGAAAGGTGCTTAATAGGTGCTACGGACCTACGGTTACCTTTACGCAAGAAATCAATCAACCGGCTTGTACGTACATATTCTGGCGTGCATCGTCGACAAGTACACGGATAGCCATGGTGCTGCTCGAATGCAGCACGACGCTCCGCTCGTGTCAGGCAGAATACTTTACAGATGGTAGTGTGTCGTAGCTGAAAGGTGAATCACAGCATTAAGCACATCGCCCCAAGTCTCAACATAAATTTAAATTTGGTAAATCTTGCAGTGGTAGCGCATTCGCCATGAGCCCACGACCAGCATATACTAATTAGTGCTGTTGCGAAAAGGGCAGGAGACTCACTTCCGAAGGTCCGGTATGCTGCGGAATGTCTTCCACCGCATGCATGACCATTCGTCGCGCTTGGTAGTTCACCACCACATTGATGTCCCAGCACACAGGCGTCATCGAGCGCGGTCCGTGTGCATAGAGCGCCTAGCCGATCCGTGGGTTGGGGCTGAATATCCCATCGAACAGGGACCGAACATTGTAGCGGAGGACTCCAAAATAGGTCAAAACATCGGCGGCGGGTAGTCCGGTTAACATGGAATGCTTGGACTCTCCAGTGGATAATCTGTGAGCAACATCAGAACTGGGCAGGATATGGTTCATACAGGCGGGAAAAACACCTTACTCTGGCAACAGACTGCGTTCGATTTTCGCTTGATCGGGATTGGCTGGCAGCATGGACAGCAAATCTTTAACAGACTTCTGACCCATTCCCGGGACATCCACCATCTCGTTTAACTAAGGACCACAGCAGATGCAAATTACTCACAGCGAGCAGCTATTGTAGCGATGTCGCCTCATCTGTTTCTTTTGGATCTCACAAGTCAGCTATCACTTTGGCCAGAAAATTACATCAATGGAACCCGAAAAATAATGCCAATTACCTTGATTTTGTTGGCCAACTTGGCGATGAGCTCTTGAGGCACGTCGAAACTGTACCCCGCTCTGCTCTCCGATGGTGTGTGCGGACTGTGCGCTGTTTCCATACCAGTCGCCTGCCGCAGTAGTTTGCATTCCAGTTTATGCTCCAGCATCCAGTCAGCAGACTGCAGAAACAACCCCAACCCGGTAATTTTTCGACTATAATCATATTGTTGTACAGCGATGATCTCTGACCGTCCTGGTAAATTCGCAAGCGCACTCTTGTCAACGCGGTCGGAGGCCGAGGAAGAAGAAACCCTACCTGACAAACGACGCTGCAGTAGCGGTGAAGCTTGCATCGGGAACATGAACGCAGGTTCTCGCTCTGCCGCAAACAGTAAGCGCAACTACTCTCCAGTACCCATACCACGGGCTCACAGCACATTACAACATCCCCAGCTCTAAAAGAACGCTTGCCCAAGAGCAGCTGAGCCTCCTTCAGCTCCATCATAATTTGTTGCTTAATTCTTGCACAACGAACAGTTTTACAGCGATATTCTGCAAAAATTACAATATGTTGAAAAAATGCAGAGCACCGAAAACCAGATGCAAGGGATTATGGATAGAAGTATCGAAATTGATTTTGCACCGTACCGTTGACCTCTGTCCAGACAATCGTCTGTCTGCGTATGAAAGAGTACTGTAGTGATCGCCGCGTACTCGTATAAGAGGGAGTTTATAGCGGTTGCTACGACTTTGTGGCTACGTGCTATCCCCTCCCCCGATGCACAAATGCTAGTCTGTTCGCATAAACTCGTCGCCAGCTTGCTACACTTCTAGCTGATAGCAAGAAAGTAGCCAGTTCACAGCGGCTTGCTACGACTAGACGGCACCCGCCCGGTGTGACCGCAGAAGGCATCCGCCCACAGTAACGGCAGGTAGCAACAGCAGCGCCCGCCCACCGCTGCGGCAGCGGACAACCTCTTTTGGTGGCGGGTTACTTGACTATGGCAAGCCGATATTAGGCTTATGGCAAGCCGACATTAGGTATATGGCAAGCCTACATTAAATACATTATGGCAAGCCGATATTAGGCGTACTCGTAATATTGCTGTTTTCTGGAAATTATTTTAATCCGCTTTTAACTTTTTAATTTATTGTACACATGAAACATTTTTTATTTATTTGATTTGTTTCAAGATTTTATCTTTAAAATCTAAATTGAAATCTTTGAAAATTTTTTTGAAATTTTAAAAAAAATAAGTTCCAATTGAGCTTGAATTTTAAAAAAAATACAGTTTAACTTTCAAATTTAATTTAAAAGTTAAAAAAATTGAAGTTAAAATTTAAAAAGTTTTATTACTTACATGATCGTGTTTGTTAATTCGAACTTGGTTTCAAACTTTTTAATGGTTATTGTGTACTGTAACGAATTTCTCCGCATTATCTGTGAAGTTGGTATATGCATTAGCAACCTCAAGAGGTTACTACAGGCTTAACCATTGTCCTTACGAGCTAGCAATCTAGTCACGACTACCAATAGCATCGTCTGTTTATGCAGACATTTGCGCTACATAGTCGGTGCTACATAGCCAGCAACGTAGCAGTAGTCAGCCAGCATGAACTCATTTTGTGGAACTACTTGCTACCAAAACGGCTACGGGAGACCACGCCTACGAAATTGGTAGCAAGTAGCAAGTAGTCAGGTCCGATAAACTGCCTCTAAATCGCTGTCACTGCTTATCGCTGCCACTGCCGATCTGATCAGCAACCGCGTCTGCTGTACTCTCTCTTTCTCTTTCTCCCTGCTCTCTTATTCAGTTGCGCAACCGGATATACGAGGTAGCTGCAAACCGGGCACAGTCGCAAACCGTTTCATTGCATGATACGTACAGAGCAGAGACTGTACATATACTTACTTTAACTATTAAATATCGAAAAAATAATATAATTTTAGTATCTGTACGTACGTGTACCGCATTATTTAGTTAATTCAGTAACGTAACAAAATTAAATAATTACTGTATTATGATCATAGCTCGTTCCATAGTACACTGGTACTTACTGTACGTTATCACAGGGTCAGCCCTCAGTCGGCTGTCCGTGGTGATCGCGGGAAAGCGGTCAGATGAAGCTATGTCTGTTGAGGAAATTCCGAAAAAGGACGATGAAGCGGAATCGAACCGCTGACTACCGAGTGTGATCCACGTAGCACAGCCACTGTGCCATCGCCGCTGTTGGCAAAGATCAAGATACTAGTACTGCAATGACAAAGGTTTAAGGAACGCTCCAGGGGCCGGGCAGCGCACACGAGTCGTCGGTCCGTTTTAAGATCAAAGGCCGACGGTCCGTGTGCGTTGGCCACGCCTCTCCTACGTTCCTTAAACTTGAGGAAATACAGTATTAATTTTGTGCTTGAGCCAACCAGGTAGGGGATGATGGATGCACCACTTTTGCCTGGAAACGCGGAATGTGCCTTGCATGGGATGTGACCTGCGTGGACACTGTTGCTCTGTCCCACCGAAAATCTACGCCGGCCACCGCAGGCTCCGCTGCCGCGCAAGCTGCGGACAAGAAAGTGCGCTTGTATGCGTATCTAAATGGCAGATACGTTTTCGTACCGGTACCACTAGCGTTCGAAACACTTGGCCCATGGGGAAAGTCAGCTATCTTATTGGTTAAAGAAATCGGCAAGCGACTGCAACTTCATACGGGAGAACCTCGCTCTCATCTTCGTCAACGGCTGTCGCTGGAGATTCAGCGGGGTAACGCCGTTTCCGTACTCGGTACAATGGAGGGACCGACAGCGTTAAACGAGATTTTGTTACTGTGAATGTCTGTGATTTTACATGTTTTGTTCTGTGTTCAGTGTATCGTATTTTATGATATAAAAATCACAGAACACCAGGTAGGCGGCGGAAGGGCGGCTGCTGTATGTACAGAGGCTTCTCCTCTTACCACGTATTATTTGTACGGAAAAATTTAATAGCCGCTTCGATGTGGAATGTCGTCTTCAGATGGCTTCCTATGGCCAAGTGGCAAGTGATCTTTATACATAGGCGCGCAAGCCGTTTGCGCGCGCGAAATGCGGCGTAGGACTTGTGACTGTACTGGCTAAAACAAATCAATTCAACGTGCACGAAAAATAACTTCCTGGGTCATTTTCCAGCTCTTTTTCGTAGTGGTTCTCATCATACAGTTTTCGTGACAATCCCAACCACAGACGAAACGGACATCCACATCCGGATGCAGGATCACATTCACACAATTACCTATGTTATTCTACTACGGGAAGCCCGAATGGCAACGCGACGCCAACTCTACCCTCTTCATCTCGCAAAAACATACGGAGGCTGCTGGAAGTGCATTTACCCGGGTAGCGGAGTCACAATGTAGAGCAGCCAGTAACACTGCTTTATAAAATTTTATGTCATTCAGTAACCACCACCACTGACTTCAGCGTTAATCTAAATCAACAGTTTCTCGTTGGAGCCTCTACGAAATCTCCTCGGAAATGCTTCAAAAGATGAAGAAGATCTGAAGCGTTTTTTCGCTAATAGAAAGTCAACCCAGTACAGAACACTGACCACACCACACAGGCACACACTGATGCGATGTTATCGTTCTTCCAACTGTGCAAAATTTATCGAGAAAATCCACAATATTTTAGGGTCAATCGATCAGCAAACCCTAAGTACTCAGTAGCCGGCATAAGTACTACCGCGCACCAACAAACGACCAACAAAATTCAACCCCCAAAAAAACAGAAGCCATTCGGTAGCGAATAGAGCGCAAGCTATTCATTGTCACGGAAAGCTTTCTCGATATCGCGCACAAAATCGTTCATGCGTGTGATCATATTGTCACCCAAGACGGCCTCTTTGGAACGCTCACCATACAGCAGCGTAAAAATGTCCACCATTTCCCGGCAATACTCGAAAATAACACAAAACGCTTGATCCGATATCGTTTTCAGTTGTTTTTTCTCCGCTGCTGACAGCTGACCAATCTGCTCCACCACCCGTTTCTTTAAAGCTGTCGCAGAATTATATCCGGCCCGCGACAGCACGATAGCGCGATACACTTCGTATTTTGGATAAATATTCCTGAAAAGAAGACCGATATATGCATACTGAAGGCCGATATTTGCTAAGATGGGATCTGCCCGGAACTATTTCCGTATTTCGACGATTTCCGTATTCCGGACACTTTCACAATACGGACTCGCGTGCCGGACACTAAAAACATGTGAACTTCCGCGTTTTTCCACATCACAAAAACTTCTCAAACTTTATTACTTAATAATTAATAATAACGAATTTAATTTTTATTTGAATTTGTTGATATTGTTTTCGTGACGCTGTCCGCTACACTCAAGCTTAATAAATATATTACGGTAATTTAATGTCTTCTGAAACGGGTACAAGCCCGTTTGATACCAAGCCTGTGCACGAGACCAGTAGTAAACTAATAATTTATCAAGTTTACTGATGTTGGGACACCACACAAAGCACGAATCGCTGATGTCCGTTACGCGAATGATCAAATCCATGTTCAGAAAGTGCGTACGGAATGCAAAAAGCGTCGAAGTACAGATACAAAGCTTCGCATGCGCCAGTTCTTAAAGTGCGACGATAATGCGTAAAATATAAGCGACTTCTCACCGAGCGCAGTCAGTCATCTCCTGCATCATCTTCCAGCCCTCCTCGAAGCGATTCTCCCAGTAAAGCTTGCGTGGCAGTGCCAAGCCACACAAGTACCGGAGATGCGCGTCCGGCTGCAAGATGTCGGCCGCCTCCATCTCGGTGCACAGATCGGTCATCATGGCCAGCTGGGAATCTTTCGGACCGCGCATCCTAATGTCTTCGTACTGCGCCAGGAAACAACGGAACTCCGTCAACTTCTCCTTGTTCGAAGCCCCGCATTCGACGCAAGGCTGCAGCGCGCGGTCATCACTCGGGATGCGATTTGTACAGCCAACGGTCGCACATTGCAGCGGATTTATATCAGCCTCCTAAACCAGACAGATACGAACTAACCAAAGATGCCGCTGTGTAAAGCACAAGTACATTTCACATTATTTCATCGTCAGGACAGTTACATATTTTGGAGTGCATTTCCGGCATGTACACGGATATCCGTGCAGTGTCTCGAATGAACCGCGACGTTCGGTTCGGGTCGAGCAGAAGGGATCCTGTATGTCGTTGTACTGCAGCTGCAAGATATTCATATCACCCTATGTAGCACCAGCTAATAACAGCACAATTTAAGCGTGCTCAAACCTCGCTGTACCCAGTACTCACATCTTTCAGTCCGGTATAGTTGGGGATTTCCTCCACAGCGTGGATGAACAAGCGGCGCCCGCGGAAGCTCATTACCACATTCACATCCCAGCACACCGGCGTCATGAGGCAAGGGGACACCAGTGGATACACCGCCACCCCAATGGGTGCCATCCCGTTCAACATATCGTACATGGGCACAGCATGGTACGCCAGTGTTAGATAATAAGCCCGCATGTTTGGATAAGAAATGCACAGCTGCACGTCTCCAAGGCCTGATCTGGAAGAACCACATTGATCATCGACGGCATCGCCGAGGTTGTCAAAACTTGCAGTAAATGATCATAAGTACTTTTGAAGTACAGCTAAATAAATTTGTTTGTTTGTCATAAAGAAATAAAATTGACTATAAATTTAACAAAATAAATAAGATTCCAGCTTACAATTCGTCTGTTTTTTTTCCGCTAACATGGGATCAGGCGGAAGCATGTGCCAAAGCTCCCGGGCTGATTTCGCGCCTAACCCGGTACATCAATCATTGTGCCCAACTGGAATAAAAACAAAGCAGCAACAAATTAATCTTACAGCTAGAAATACACGTAATCTGAATGTTATTAGGCTGATCTAGCAATCAGGATGTCCTCCGGGCAGCCGCCCTCGGGGGTCTCCAGCGCAAGTACATCTTGCTCCTTCTCTTTAGATGCTGGTGTGATCTGACGAGTCACAGTGATAGTGGCATTCAAGGGGCAACGGAGCAAACAGACTGGCATCGTGTCCAAATTGTCAGCTGGACAAGATCATGGACTGTGCGGGTAATTACCTTGATTTTGTTGTCCAGCTTGGCGACGAGATCTCGTGGGACCACCAGACTGTAGTGTGTACTGGTCCCCGATGTCTCGCGATCCGTGTTCATCATGATGCCCGTCCCGGTCGTCTTGAGCAGGGCGCATTCCAGTTTGTGCTCCACCTTCCAGTCAGCAGACTGAAGCATACCGTAGAAACAGTTCTTGTTATTAATACGACAGTAAATTCGTTCTGGCAGGCGCAACGCGAACGCGACCTCTGATCAACATGGAACATAACATTCGGTTACCTTCCTAGTTGTACCTGGCACGCCACGCTGCAGTATCGATGCAGTTTGCATCCCGAGCAGGTGCGCAGTTCCTGGCCCTCCTGGAAACAATAGGCGCAGCGTACTGGGTAGGCATTACTCTCCAGTACCCACACTAAGGGATCACAGTACAGTACGGTGTCACCAGTCGCGAAAGAACGTGGCCCAATGACAAAGCCCTTCTGGTTCTCCATTGATACGGGAAGAAGCCCGCCAGATGAGGACCGATTAACGATAATGCGGAACAAATTATTTACCGAAATACGGGAGTAGGGAACGGCAAAATCGTAACATGTGTGACGTGTCAATGGTGCCATCAAACTAGTCCCGACTCCCGAAATAATTAATGAACCTGTGCCGCTGTGCGATTTGAATTTTGATACAGTAAGGGATCGTCTCATATCTATAGCGAAACTAGCTTCCGTACAGTACCCCACCGTCCCAAAACAGCAGATACGGGATACGGTATGCCGGTTTTCGATTCGCGCATCTGGTTTCCCATGAAAAGATTCGGACAGGTACGCAGCGTATCCCAGAGCGTCCCGTATTCGCAACGGGTAGATACGATGCTTCGCGCAACGTATCTCGTAACCTGTACTAACCCTGCGTCTCATATCAAGCGGAAATGGTGAGCGCCTTTTTTTCAAACCGTCGAAAACAAAGAAAAACGATACGGTACGCGAAGCCACCTCCAGAGGTGGCTTTCCCTGGTATCTCTGTTATAAAAATTTTATAACTTTTTCGTGTAATCACTGGAATGAGATTTCATTTTCTTTCGTGTTTATGGAAAATTTTTCAAAATGGAGTACGATTCCATTTCTTCGGATGACGAAGCCGAAAGCACTACGAACACTGTGGGCGCTGTATGCATGTCCGTTTGTAGTGTGATTCAGAACTTATTTGGGGGCTTAAAAGTTAAAACACTTGAGTGCGAAGGGACTTGTCTCGCGGGGATAACGAAAACGTTAATCGGCGAGAAATTCGTTCTGCTGCACAGAATCTCTACAACCGTTATCCTGGGCGATTGTTTTTGGAGACGTACCACATTAATCCGGATGTGTTTCGTGTAATTGTGGAAAAATTACGGTCTTATTTTGAACGGAGTACTACGAAAAAACCTTATGCAATAGAGTGCAAAATAGCTGCCTGCATTCTTATGCTAGCACATGGATCGTCGGTACGGTCTCAGTGTGAACTCTCAGTGGATGCAGATTTGTCGCTATTAATAATTATCGATATTCGACAGTTACAGGAAATATTGAAGGGATGCTGGACGTAAAAATGACAGCAAGAGCGGCAATCACTTTAATACACTTTAATTACCTCAAGTCTCAAATCACAAGGCAAAACCACCCGCCTTCAAAATCGATCGCAAAACGCAAAACTTAAACTTCAGACGTGTAAATAATTCTCCAACAAGTGTCTTATCTTTGCAAATTTATACTTCAAGTGATACCTAAATCAGGCCACTTTCAACCAAAAAATATAATAATAACTTTGAAAGATTTTGCCCGAACTTCGACGTTAAAAAGCGAGAACGTACGGACTGATAGGTTCTTGTACAGAAAACGTTATGCGCGGCAAGATGCGATCGAAGCGATGAGACGCAAGTACAGCGATACGGCAACAAAGCTACAGATTCGATACAGGAAACCGATAGCGAGCACAGTTTCGATGCGCGTAGCCTGTACTGTACCTTGCTGACGCGCACCAAAGACTGTCCCATTTCTGTACCATAACGAAACTAGCTACGGTACTGTATCGTAGCGCGATACGCTATAGATATGAGACGATCCCTAAGTACTGAAAGGCAGTGCTGTCAACGGCTACGAGCGTGTATGTGCACCCAGTGCACGCCATTATGTTTACCGTGGCTGCACCGCTCGGGAGGCAGCTGTGTTCCAATTTTGCGGTTTGCAGACTGCTCAAGCAACTGAAGCAAGCATTCGCACTTTCGCATGGTCAGTAGATGTATTCGTTTTTCTAACGATTCTTGCTTATAAAAGCGCCATTTCGATATGCTTGATGTTCTACGTAAAAATCTACGTACTGTAAAATGTGCGGTGTCCAGCAAGGGGAGGCCTGAGAGCGGAGCCACTGTATCTACCAGATACAAAACAAAGCGGGAAAAAAATCTATAAAATGGCAGAGTTTTCTTCCGTAGAGAATAATTAAACAACGCAATCAATTGAATACTGTTCAAAACATTAGCAATGTCGGCTTAAATCTTCGCAAAATAAAGCAGCAATCCTCTGGTTACTTGCGGCCGTGAAAAGCCTGTTCAATACGGTATAACTGCGCAGACACTCCCTTCAGTACAGTAATGCTGGTCCGAACCTCCTTCGACTGCTTACCAAACAGCACAAGCAAGATGTCATAGGCTTCCTTACAATAACCAAGAATCCGACCGCCCATGTATGCCGCTAACGCTTCAAGTTTGCTTTTCGCCGGTTCCGAAAGCGGTTGCATCCCTTTCAGCACTCGTTTATCCAGAGCGGAAACGGCCGCCGTTCCTGCAGTTATCAGGAGAATAGCGCGAATGACTTCGTACTGCGGATAAACGTTTCTGAAAACAAGCACGTGCGTGTATTTAATATCATAAAGATGTAATGTTCAATAACCACATATTGTAATGTTGATCTACCCGTAACATATTGTTTGGTTCTAGAATTGTGTACTTCGCTGTTTTTTGAACTCCGGACACTGTTACAATACGGATTCTATCAGAGACACGAAATTTATTCTCGTATACAAATTTTTATAAATATTAAATATCGCTAAATTAATTTTGAAAAGCTTTTTACGTGTGGACTGTGGAACAACGTCTGGTAAGATAAGTATGTCCATTTAAAGAAGCTCGGTTACTGTATCTGTAGTTACATACATAACGCTCGTTAATATTATTCACAGGCCTTACCGCATACACTCAACCAGCTCATCCATCAGCCGACAGCCCTCTTCACATCGCCCTTCCTCCAAGTATTTCTCCCATAATTTCCATCCATACACGTAACGGATATGCGCACCCGATTGCAGGATACCGGCAGCCTCCATTTTCTCGCACAGTTCCGTGATCCTGGCCTGGTTATGCTCCCGTGGGTGGCGGATAATTGTGTCCAGCTGCTGCATGAAGCGCCGAAATTGCGCCAACCGGTCACCGTTGAGGGCGCCGCATTCCGAACACGCAGCACGTGCCCGACTGTCGCTGGGAATGCGGTTCGTGCAACCCATCGTCACACATTTCAGTGGATTAATGTCAGCATCCTACGACAGGATAAATTAAAATAAGACAACAGTTATATATCGCAACTTGTTATCATTATTATTATTGCAACTGCAGTAGCCCAACTGCATTAACGCAGGCGAGACGGAGACATCAACAAACGTCGGCAAGTTGTACAGCACTTACATATTCCTCCGTGCATTTGCGGCATGTACACGGATAACCATGATACTTCTGAAAATCAGCGCGACGCTCCGTTCTGGTTAGGTTGAACGGTTCCTGGACGGCGGTGTATCGCAGCTGGAAGAGACAGTTTGTAACAATTTCGCCTCACACATTGACTCATTTATTACTGCCGCGTAATATGCGTTTCTAAATCTCATTATCTCCGTCAGGCTTGCGAGCCTTGTCGCGGCGCCAGCAAATAAGTAATACAACGTAGAAATTTACCCAGCTTACATCATGCAGTCCGGTATATTCCTGAATGCTTTCCACAGCATGTACAACCAGCTGTCGTCCGCGGCAGTTCAGCGCCACATTGATGTCCAAGCACACCGGCGTCATCTGGCGCCGCGATGCCTGCGGATACACCGCCAATCCGATGCAGGCACTGTCATCCAGCACATCACATATCGGCATAAAGTTGTAGTGGAGGATTCCGAAGTACTTCAGAAAGTCCATTACCGGCAGGTCGAGTACCGTGGCATTTTCGGCCCCACTAAAGGACATTCTACGAACAAAAATGCGCTTGTTTGTAGACCATGCAGATCTGCAAAAAATTTCTGAAATTCCGAAGCATGCTGCAAGCATAACCTACGTTGGTAACATTATCCGTTCGGCTGCCGCGTGCGCGGGATTTGCCGGCAGCAGGAGCAAAAGATCGCTGGCTGATTTCGGGCCCAGTCCCGGAACGTCCGTCGTCGTGTTTAACTGTGAAAAACAACGGCATATCGACAACATGCAAACGGTAAACCGACCACAATTGCAGAAGGTCCAACGGTTTAATGAATAGTTTTATTGAGTGATTTATCAATGTCAAACTCTTACGTCTTACGCTGGGTAACGTAAATGCACAGATCGATGGAAAAGTTTTGAAACAAGGATCTTATCGAATTTCATCGTACCTTAATTTTATTAACCAACTTGGCGATCATATCCATGATTATGGGAAAGAGACACGATCCTGCCTCAGGAAGAAGCGCCAAGATCCCCGTCAGCTCCTTGTGCGATTGGCTGCTAATTTTCTTCAGCATGGCGCATTCCAGTTTATGCTCCACTTTCCAGTCAGCGGCCTACACACCAACCACCACACAATTATTACGAGTACTGCAAACCTGAGAGCGTTCTCGCTAAACCTCTCCCTCCCTGAGTGTAAGCACACTGTCGACGAAACACCCCATCTCACGGGCGAAACAAATCCGTGGTGGATTAAAATTGCACATGGAACAGTGAAGACACACTGTACCTACTACCTAGTACTTGTACAATATAACGAGTTCGTCCTCTCTTGCGCCACAGTTGCATGGTATTAGCGTTGTTCAAACAAGTCAGCAACTCAGCGTACCTGGCAGGTGGAATTACAGTAGCGGTGCAGTTGACATCCGGAACAAGCTCGCAGTTCCGAGCTCTCCTCCAAACAAAACGCACAGCGCGTTTTATAGGCGCTCCGCTCCAGGGCCCACACCAAGGGATCACAAGCTACAATCAGGTCGCCAGGTGCAAAGCTTCGCCTGCCAGCGCTTGGCACAGGTTTTTGAATCTCCATTGCGGGAAAGAAGACGCTCAAGGTAATTTTATCATCAAACGGAAAATCACGTTAACTTGGGATATAAGTGAGAAAGTGTATAGTAGTTTAACCACAAAATCTAGTACTACTTCCAAAATTACAATACGCTATCCGCTATCTGCAACTGCAAGAAATGACTGGTGCCCGAAAGGCTTAGTGGTAAGGAACTGTAGCCAACGGGAGTTCGCCGAGGCTACGCTGGTGTACCATGTCGGCCACCATGGGTTGGCACTTGGCAGCGTGGCACAAGCTCGTCCACGCTGCATCTATTGATTTAAATGTTACATAGTCTAAATCAACAATTCGTAGTTTACGGCAATCTTCGTAAAAATATTTGAAACGATGAAGAAAAAATATTTTCCAGATCTAGCAAAATAATATCCACAGTACATGGCAGATAAGTCCCCATGTACGGTGGTCAACACAAAGTAGAGAAATTACACAACATCCTGGATTGAACAACCCGGAAACAGCAATTTATAATTGTCGATGTTGCCGCCACACCCAAAAGGTCGAAGCCAATCAACCGAAACAAGCGGACTCTGCAGCCAGTGCAACTGTGCCACATGATCCGGTCAGAAATACACAAAAAGCGGGGACGGAGGTCCTCAGAAACAGTAAAGCACAACAGCGAAAACAAGCCAGGTGGGCAGAAATGAAGCCCGCTCTGGCAAAACATTAAGCAATCTCGTAGCACGGAATTCAATAACGTACTCGGGAACGATTCCTCGGTTCTCAAATCAATTACCGGCCTGTACAAAAACAATAATGATGCTAAAAAGACCGCCAGGAGAAATGTAACAAGAAACACACTGGACAACATCAAGAACATTATTTACGGCTGTACAGAGCCTGCTGAATGCGGAACGCTTTCATATATACATGCCCACAAGTGGCTAGGAATTTCTGGGCGCCGTAGCACTGCGTGCCAAACAGCTTCGCTAAAATATCCTTCGCTTCTCCACAATAATTCTTCACCAGCTCACACACTTCAAGGATGGCCGATCGAGACATCGGAACCGGCCCAATATTCTGCATTCGCTTTTCCAGCGCATCAATGGCCGACCATCCCGCTAAATTCAGTTCACGCGCACGGAACACCGCATACTTTGGGTAAATCTTCCTGCAACCGTCACTTTTGATTATCTGTGTCTACGATCACTCGTCATATGCCATCTTAAGACGGGAAAACTTACCGCACGCAAACAATCATTTCCGCGATCATCTTCCAGCCTTCTTCATAGCGATTTTCGTCGAAGTATTTCTGCGGTAATTCCCAGCCGCACACGTAGCGGAAATGCGCATCCGGCTGCAGAATGCCCGCGGCGTCTATTTCTCGGCAGAGCTGCAAGACCATGGCCGCGCGGCGCTTCTCCGGGTAGCTCGTCCGGATCTTCTCATGCTGCTCGGAAAACTCACGAAACTTCTGCAACCGGTCACTGTTGATGGCACCGCAATCCGAGCAAGCCTGTTGTGCACGGCTGTCGCTGGGAATTCGGTTCGAGCAGCCCTTCATTACGCAGCGTAACGGATTAATTTCGGCATCCTGTGGGCATATGACGCATATCCATAACGCAAATTACGGCAAAAAGCAGAGAATTAAGGTCAAGTGACCAAGAGCGTACAAGCGCGAGGATTTAGTATTTTCATGCGCAAAAGTACAGCGAGAAGTACAGATTCATGGGTTACGCATACCGCGGCCCGCCACGCCACGCGCTTTATAAAATTTACTCATTGCGCTAAATAATTGTAGTGTACTGGCTACTTTCTTAAGTAGAGCGGGCCAGCAACACGGGCATTTACGCAAGAAATCAATCAACCGGCTTGTACGTACATATTCCGGCGTGCATCGTCGACAAGTACACGGATAGCCATGGTGATGCTCGAATGCAGCACGACGCTCCGCTCGTGTCAGGCAGAATACTTTCAGGATGGTAGTGTGTCGTAGCTGCAAGATGAACCATAGTATAAGCCCATTATAGTGATGAGTCATCACTGGTACCTAGAAAATGGCTACTTATTGGCAAGTACAGATATTAACATAAATTAATTATTAAATTGTTATAAATAAATAAATAATAATAATAATTCAAATTAAATTTTTAAAAAAAGTAAATTGATATTAATTTCTTATTGTTATTAATTATCACATTATACTTTGTTACATTGTTAAAATTTTGTTTTACATTGTTAAAATAATACCATGATTAACCATACCAGGGCCTATCCCTGCACACCTTACAATTAGCTAAACTGCGATTTGTTTTCAGCTTATAGATTGTTGCAGCGTGCAAAGTTATGGACGTTCTGAAGCTTAAAGGAACCCAGAGAATTTCTTAAAACCAAAGAACGCTTTAAGGACTCACATCTGACGGTCCGGTATACTGCGGAATGTCTTCCACGGCATGCATGACGGTACGTCGGGCTTGGTAGTTCACCACCACATTGATGTCCCAGCACACCGGCGTCATCGAGTGCGGTCCATGTGGATACAGCGCCAAGCCGATCCGTGGGTTGGGGCTAAACAGCCCATCGAACAAAGACAGAACGTTGTAGCGCAGGATTCCAAAATAGGTCAACACATCGGCTGCAGGTAGATCGATTAACATGGAATGCTTGGACTCTCCAGCGGATATTCTGTAAACAGCATGATCCGTTCAGAACCGGGCAAGATATGGCTGATACATGTGGGAAAAAAGCACCTACTTTGGCAGCAGACTGCGTTCGATTTCCGCTTGATCGGGATTGGTTGGCAGAATGGACAGCAGATCTTTGACAGACTTCTGACCCATTCCCGGAACATCCACCATCTGGTTTAACTAAGGACCACAGCAGATGCAAATTACATTGAGCAGCCATTGTACCGATGCCCCGCAACCACTTCATCACTTCCGTTTAGATCTCAACTATCACGTTAGCCAGAAAATCACACCACTGGAACCCAGGGGCGTTATAGAAGTGTTGCCACAGGTGACTTTTGATCACGTGACAAGAGCTGGTGGAGCGGAAGCGATTTCCCCGTAAGCTGCAGCGCTATTGGGTCCATGTTCGCACCTCCATTGCTCACCAACCAAATAAAGTTTTGATAAGCAGATTGTGTCAAAATAATTAGCATACAGGGATAATTTGCAAAAGGGGAACGTAGAAATACAGATTTCTGCGGCACCAAAGTTATAGCTACAAACAAATTTCCTAGTTACCCATACTGCCGCGCATTTCCGGTTGAAAATGCCTATATTGGCTGCAGTTGATTATTTCTGTTGGCGCTTCGGGTAAATTCGCTGTCGGTTTTGCCACGGTTCGGCTTTTTTTTCGGTTCGTGACGTCACGAGCTCTGTGGCAACACTTCTATTGGGGTGGTGTACCAAACCGAAAAATGCCACATTTACCTTGATTTTGTTGGCCAACTTGGCGATGAGCTCTTGAGGCACGTCGAAACTGTACTCCGCGCTGCTGTCCGGTGGTGTTGGCGCAGTTTCCATACCAGTCGCCTGCTGCAGTAGTGTGCATTCCAGGTTATGCTCCAGCTCCAAGTCAGCAGTCTATACAAACAATCCCAATCGGTAATTTGATGTAGAGATGGCAGCGGCTGGCTGAAAGCCGGCTAAGCCGCGGCTTAGCCGGCTATTAGCCAGCCGGCTGAGCATTTTTGGGAGCCGTAGCCGACGACAGGCCGGCTGTCTACGCCGGCTAAGGATTCCAGCCGGCTGAGGCTTAGCCGGCGGCCGCTTCGGCTAAGCGGCTTGCGCGGCTGCATTGTCGTGCGACTGGCGCATTCGAAAAAACGCACGGCGCATTCGCCGCATCGACGCACGATTCAAGTCTGCGTAAATTCTGCAGTTGCACTGCATGCTGCTTGGGCAGGAATTCCCGAATCACAAATGCAGAATGCTAATACTGAGATTGCTACTGTGAGTCTGCGGCTGTCGCTGTACGGTTTGCGTGAAAGCAAATGCATTGAACGCAATATGAGCTGTTTTGTCACGCAGTTTTAATTTTCTTGATCAGTGCAAAACAGTTATTAGTATGCCTTTTGGAGGCCCCCGTTGATGCAAGAAATTGCAGAAGATGCCGCGGAAGACGCTACACGGTATAACTATCGTACTGCCGACACAGAAGACGATATCCAACCACCAGCGACTCCGGGTTCTACGATCGATGCCACGGCAGTTTCTTCCGCACCCGCCCCCGATACAGGAATTCCAGTTAAAAAGCTGGTCTTATCCAATACTCGTTATTGCTTATCCCATACTCGTCGCCGTAGACTGCAGTTACGTAGTACGGCATAACAAGCAGCAGTTTTTATTTTCAGAAATTATTAATAATTTTGATAATGGCTTAAACGGCTTAGCCGGCGATAGCCGGCTAAGCCCGGCTGGAAAAATTGGTCAGCCGCCATAGCCGGCTGGGACTTCCAGCCGCGTTAAGTTAGCCGGCTAAGGATTTCAGCCGGCCGTCAGCCGAAAGGTCAGCCGTTTAGCCGGCCGTTGCCATCTCTAATTTGATGACTATAATCATATTGCTGTCAGCTGTATGATGAACTCTCAGCTCTGACCGTTGTGGTAAATTCGCACGCCGAATCTTGTCAACGCGGTCGGTGGCCGAGACAGAAGGAGTCCTTACCTGACAAGCGACGCTGCAGTAGCGATGCAGGTTGCATCTGGCACAGGTGACCAGGTTCTGGCTTTGCCGCAGACAATAAGCACAGCGTGTTTTGTAGGCGCCACTCTCCAGTACCCACACCACGGGCTCACAGCACATCACAACATCTCCAGCCGTAAAAGAACGCCTGCCCATGGGCAGTTTAGCCACCTTCATCTCCATCTTAAATTCACGGATTTTATTTGCTTAATACTGCACAACGAACAGCGATATTCTGTTAAAATTACAGTATGAAAAATGCAGCGCAACGAAAGCCAAATGCAACGGATTTCTACTTTCTAGACTATGGATATCGAAACTGATTTGCTCCGTACCGTTGACCTCTCTCCAGACAAACGTCTGTCTGTGGCGACTCTGTGCGTGCAAGACAGCAAGAGTGATCGCCGCGTATAAAACGCCGTCCCTGCTTTATCGCTGTCACTACCGATCTGATCAGCAATCGCGAAAGCGTGCTCTGTTTCAGTGTTTCTCTGCTCTACTCCCTCTCTCTCTGCTCTGTCAATCAGTTGCGCAACCGGATATATCCGCAAACTTTTGCAAGTGCATTGGACTCGTACTTACTGCAGAAGTGCACTTTGTAAGTACTTATCGAAATACGAGTAGAATGCATGTACTGTATTTGTACTGCGGTATGTAGTGAAAACGTTAACAGCCATTTCTTCAGCTAACAACAGAAAGTGCAAGCGCGGGCACAATACTTTACAGTTAAAATTTAAACATTAAAAAAACAGCCAAATCTCTATCCGCCCGTGGGTTAAAAGGCAACGTACTTAAGGAATTTGGCCCGGTACATAGCACTAAAAGCGTGTACTTTGACGGGAATATTCGCTTTCGCGCACTTTCAAACACTTTTTTGGGTTGCTTTTTGACATTCTGTAGCCAAATGATTTATATACAGAGGCGTGAAATCCGTTTTCGCGCGCAACATGTACCGGGCCAAATCCCTTAACACAGCAGCAGCATTTCCCTTAATGACAGCCAAACTAAAACGTTGCTTCATAAAAGAAGTAGAACGCGCTTCTCCAGTTAATTCACGAGTTTTACGGCCCATAAAATGTACAAATTCACTTAAAGCTGGGCCGAAAACACCAAACGTTGCAACAACTAAGGAGTAAGGGATAGAACAGGTGTCAACTTTCCAGTGGAGAGTATTTCCGTCGCTTTTCATTTTCTGCCAGGTGAGCCACACTTCCTGCCTTTTTCGAACTTCCGTGGACATGGGAATCGGCTACTGTACACCAAGTTGTGACATCCCATACAACAGGCTTTCCCTGACGGACTGGAATAAGCGTCATGCCGTCAGGTCGAATCGCCGGACTTTGTGATAGGCCCGTCGGTTCCAGTTGACAAGGGTATCCTGCGCTCTCGCAACAGTTTTTGGCAATACTGTTCATTTCTCTATGTCTGGCCCATCGCCCTTTCGTTGATTTATTGTAGGAAAGCCCGTGATGGCCATTCGTTTCCACTAATTTGCCGCATGCCACGCAGTTATGAGCTGTCACTACGTACAGGCAATCCAAAACGTAATGCCACTCCAACTCTGACTTCTTCGTCTCGTAAAAACGTTCCAAGACAAGGCGCCGGTAACGCATTCAGCCAAGCCCCGGAATCTCTGCTAAATGCAGCCAACAAAACGGCTCTTGTGCGCTCATTGCCAACCGTTGATAACATCAGTTCTGATACATCCCTGTCAATCATCGGTACATCCCACACGTACTGAAACTTTCGCACACAATCTTCTGGTAGCGTGCAGTTTGTCGTCGGTAGCCAGTTCTCTACAGCCGATTGCGTCATACGGTCACCAGCTGGCGCGTAAAATCTGGAAATGAGAGGCCGCACAGCGTACACCGATGCTAGAAAGGCTTCAAACGTTAATAACTTTAATAGAGTACGTACTGTAATAAAATTAGTTCGGTTATCATTGGTAAAACATCTCCATAAAACTGTACGTACTATTTGCGAGCACGGACGTACGTATAAATTTAAAAGCATCTTCGAAGTGGGCTGGCCTCTTCGGATGGCATCCTATGGCCAAGATCTATATAGGGAAAAAAACTATTAAATTTGCAACGCGCAACATGCGGTCAGTAAGTTACGACTGTAGAAAATTCTAGAAAGCTTAATCACATCAACCTACCGCACAGGAATAATAATTTCCTGGATCATCTTCCAGCCTTCTTTGAAGCGGCCTCATCAGACAGATTTTCGCGGCAGTTCCCAGCTACAGACGAAACGGATATGTGCATCCGGAATCCGAATGCAGGATACCGGCAGAGTCCATTTCTTTGCACAGGTTGATAGCCATAGCCGTTTGGAATTCTTCTGGGAAATGCGTGTGATGGTTTCCAGTTGAGCCACGAAACAACGGAACTCTATAAACTGATCTGCATGCAGCGCACCGCATTCGTCACAGGGCTGAAGAGCACGGGCGTCGCTCGGAATGCGACGCGCTACGCGGATCTGTACTTTTCACCCGAAATGCCCCGCGTTTTGCGTTATGGCTCTGGCACTGGCCGGAGCATCGTCGCTCTAGCGCTTGAAAAGCGAGTGTTTTAGAAAAATTGGGAAACTGACGGACGCGGAGAGGCATTAAATGAAAAGTGAAAACCACATCGGCCAACGCGCCCCTGTTTATACCGAATTACTGCCGGGAAGCGCAGGACATCACCATCCGGCTGTGTCCAAGGGGGCCATGACCGGTGAAAGTTTTCAAGCTCGTGCGCAGTGGTTTGTGTACATCACGCAAACTTTTTAAGACCGTGCTTAGTCTAAATCATCACTTTACACAGGAAACAATATTTTGCTAGGTACATTTTCTTAAAATTTGGAAGCAACGCTCGTTTTTTGTTAAGAATTCCATCGCACAGTATGTTAATACATTTTCGGGTGTTGTTAATTTTTGGTTAGTAGAACGGTAGGCATATTCTTCGCTCCACCCATATCACGAACGCCACGAGAATAATTCTTTTAATTGAGAGTGGTCACGCACAGAACATGAACAATGTCGTCCGGCGGACTACCTAGCTAATCAAAACAACGCAATAGAAATGTACGTACTCTCAGTTCGTTAGCACCATTTCTCAATACGCAACAAGAACAGAAGCAGCGCTAAGTTGCACTTATTAGAAAGAAACGTTATCAGCCGTCACTTGCTGCCGCGAAGAATATGCTCGATGCAACGCATTTTTGCCACCACCTCCGTAAAATCAGCATAGCCGGTCTGAGACTCCTTGGACGTCTTCCCAAACAGCACCGCCAGAATATCCAGGCTTTCCTCACAATATTCGATCACGAGACCGAAAACTTGCGCGACTAATGTTTCCAGCTCTTGTCTTCCCGGTTTCGACAGCTGGTTCGCCCCATTCAGCACGTGCCGATGCAGCGCCGTAATGGCCGACATCCCCGCTGACATCAGGAGAAGAACCCGGAAAGCAGCATACTTTGGATATATTTTCCTGAAGATGATTAGCATATTTCACTGCTTTGTTGACTTTCCTAAATTCTAAAATTCGAAACTACCGAACCTTACCGTGCACAGACAAGTAATTCCTGCACCATCTGCCAGCCCTCTTCAAAGCGGCCCTCATCGTAATATTGATCCGGCAATTCCCAGCCGGAGACAAAACGGACATGCGCATCCGGCTGCAGGATGCCGGCAGCTTCCGTTTCCTTGCACAGCGCCATAAGCATGTCTTTGTGGAGCTTTCTCGGGCAGCGCCCAATGGCCTCGTACTGGAGCACGAAACGGCGGAACTGCATGAGCCGGTCAGTGTTAATAGCACCGCATTCTGAGCAGGCTGTGTTTGCACGGCTGTCGCTGGGAATCCGATTCGTACATCCAACTGTTACACAACGTAACGAATTAATCTCCGCATCCTAAAAACAACCATACCAGCCGAAATTGCATCACTCAGAAAACCTTTTGTATCAAAGTGTATTTTCTGTCGCAGTGGTCGGAAACAGCATTGACACTTTTGCCGCACACTGCATCAATCACAAAAATAAGAAACTGCTTGTAGCTACCGTACATATTCTTCCGTGCATCGGCGACAAGTACACGCATAATCGTAACGCTTCTCAAATCTGAGGCGACGTTCAGCTCGTGGTAAACTGAATGGTTCCCGGGTGTCGTTGTATCGTAGCTGCAAAATTACAAAATGTTTTAGTACTCATTTTATGCCCGTTGGAATCTGCGTATTGTAACCGAACACCCTTTGGTTTTGGACCGGTTTCACTAATCAACTACTGTACTGAATAATACTGATATATACACACGTCTTGTCAATTCAAATTTCGCGTGTATTCTGAAACCGCTATGTTAACTGCCAATTTTTTGTAAATCGTTGGTTAAAATGCAACGTTAATCGAACACGTAGTGCGAGTGTGAAACGGGCCTGCTAAACCTAAACAGTTTGCATTACGATGCGCTGGATGCTACGTACATACGCAACCTACTGTACCTACATCTTCAAGCCCTGTGTAACGCGGAATGTCTTGAACGGCATGTATAACCAGCCGGCGCCCGCGGTAGTGTAATACCACGTTAATGTCCCAGCACACCGGCGTCATTCGTCGCGGCGGTGCCTGCGGATACACGGCTAAGCCGATCGGTGCGGCGAGCATATCGTAAATGGGCAGAACGTTGTAGCGGAGCATTCCGTAGTACGCCAAAAATTCCGCTGCTGGCAACTCGTCTATCAGGGAATTTCGCGACTCCATAGCCGATAACCTACGAGCGCAGAATGACCTGAACAAGGTCGGGTCTATACATGGAGGAAAAAAGCTTACGCTGGTTGTAGCTTCCATTCGACTTCCGCTTGCATGGGATTTTCCGGCAGCATGAGCAGAAGATCTTTGGTCGATTTCCGACCCATGCCCGGGATGTCCATCATCGTATTTAACTGAAGAAAACATGCACTGTAACGAGCCTGGATCCCAACAATACCAACTAGTGACTACTACCAAGCATGGATTATCTTTCCCGTTTTCTGTATCGTACCATCTGATTAAAAGATAGTAAGAATTCTTCGCAAAATTTGTCAGCACGCTAGCTATATATTGAACCACATTTCAATTAGTAAATTTGCCATCAGGGTTCAGTAGAAGAAAACAACAGCTTGAGTGCTAAACCATCATTACTATAAGCAAACAAGCAGGGATTCGTTCAAAGAGGATCTTTACACAGCACAAACCTTGATTTTATTGGCCAGCTTGGCGATCATATCCGTAGGGACGGGATAGTTGCCCGATGCTGATTCACCCAGTGGACCGCGCTCTGGTCGAGGGCGCGTACCAGTGCCGATCTTTTTCAGCATGGCGCATTCCAGCTTATGTTCCGCTTTCCAGTCCGCAGCCTGTGTAACAATCAAATTGAGCCCTATGGCACATTAAAAACATAGTCTTTAGTCCCGTTAATCGGGTTATCTGTTCTTAATAAATTGCCGAAGTTAAACGCTATGGGCAATCGCATGTACTGCATAAAATCAGCTCTAAATTTCCTTTTTAACTAGGTAGGAGACAAGAAATATTTAGTGAGCCCCACCAATTACGGGTGCTCAGTTATCAGGTTACTCGATTACTCAGAAGCAAGAGTTCTACCGTACTTGCTGATTACCGTACCTGACAAACAGGATTGCAGTAGCGATGCAGGTGGCATCCCGAACATGCTCGCAGTTCTTGGCTTTCTTGAAAACAATAAGCACAGAGCGTCTTGTAAGCGCTGCTCTCCAATACCCACACCAACGGGTCGCAGGAGATTACCATGTCTCCAATAAAGTAACTGCGGCTGCTGCCATGGCTAGGCGCCTTTTCCATTGTGAGGTTTAAACGGACGCTAAGTACAGTAATTATGGAAAACAACAAGTTAGCAGGTGCATCCAGGCCCGTATCGAGACCCTTGTGCAGGTTTCTAAAATATGCTCCTATCAAAGTTTTCAGAATACACCATTAGTCGTGAAATTCGGAACAAGAACGGTTAAGGCTGATTTTCGAAATTCCGCGTGAGAGGAGTATATTTTTTAAAACTGTCTCGATAACATCCGTATTCCGTATGAATACTCAACAACGCAACAAACTCGCTGAATCAAAAGCGTGGTTGACTGAACGAACTTGGAGGGATTGAAAGTAGTTTTAGGCTTTTAGTAGATTGAGTCATTGAGACAAGTTTCAAACTTGCCTATTCAATTCGCCACAATGACACAGCTATTCGGATATACGCTGTTAGTCAATAAACATCCCACTACATGAGAAACGGCGGCGGCTTGATCTGACGGTGAGTTACCGAGTAGTTTGATGTAATGCTGCAAAGAAATATATGCACTGTACTGGACCGTATCGATGGCCAAGTTTCTTTATGCTGCAAGTACACATCGATTTTCCGCATTCTTTCTGTACAACTCAACTAACCGAACATTAGCTCTCCGTGTGACGCGTTTCGTACTTAATTGTGTGTTGGGACCAAAATTAATATGCACCTTAAACTTTAAAGTACAAGTGATTAGTTTACGAGCAGAACCGAGTGACTTCAAATTGTAAAAGTACGACAAGAACGAAATACTTCATAAAGACATAAGCAGAAGCTAAAGCAAAAAAAGCCGGTCATTAGAGAAATGATACCACATTTTTGCAGCTATTTCCTGTCACGGAAAGCTTTCTCGATGTCTCCCACTAAACCTTCGACACGCGTGAGCATGTTATTGCTCCTGAGGACTTCGTTGGAACGTTCACCATATAACAGAACAAGAATGTCTCTCGCTTCTCGAATATAACTGAAAGCAACAGAAAATGTTTGGTCGGGCATCGCTTTCAGCTGTTTCCTATCCGCAGCTGACAGCTAGACAATCTGCTCCAGCACTCGCTTCCTTAGAGCTGCTGTTGAAGATACTGCGGCAGCCGACAGCACAAAAGCGCGGAAAACTTCGTATTTTGGATAAATGTTTCTGTAAAAAATAATCATCAAGGCGGCAACGCCGATTACGTGGAATAGTATTACGCGGAATTCTAGTGCTTCGTTTCCTTATATGTTAGGCAAAATTATATCACCAAGTACCGAATCGATAACAAATTTAAAGTGGTGTATACCGTATGCAGACAGTCATCTCCTGCATCATCTTCCAGCCATCTTTGAAGCGGTTCTTATCGTACAAATTCCGCGGCAATTCCCAGCCGCACGCGTAACGTAGATGCGCATCCGGTTGCAGGATGCCGGCAGCATCGATCTCCGTGCACAACTCGTTAGCCTTAGCCTGGTGGGATTCGTTGGGAAAACGCGTCTTAATGGTCTCGTACAGCTGCACGAAACGTCGGAACGCCGTTAAGTGTTCCGCGTTCAACGCGCCGCATTCAGCACAGGGCTGCAAAGCACGATCGTCGCTGGGAATACGATTCGGACATCCAACGGTAATGCATTTCAGCGGATTTATATCAGCCTCCTGTGACAGACAAAGGCCTGGAGTAACACTGCATTAAAAGCGATACAGCGCACGATACAGTCATTATTAGATTGGCAATTCAAAGGTTACGCAAAGCTAGAGGGGTTTCCGCGGCTTTCTGTTACGTTATTTACAAGGATTGGATTTTCACAAGAAATTTTTCTGCTATGAAATTTATGTTAACAAGGCGATAGCATAGCGAAGGTACAGAACAATGACCAGCGACCACATTAAACTATTTTGTTCTGGTAGGAAAGTAAGTAACGTTCTGCTATGCGAGAGTTGCAATGGTGAGAGCATGAGAGATTTACTTATATAAATCGCTACGCAACTTATCTGTACCTAACGCAAAATCGTGTCATATCTGAGTGCCAGAATATGACTTACGTATGCCGGTGTGCATTTCCGGCATGTGCACGGATATCCGTGCAGCTTCTCGAATTCAGCTCGACGCCCGGCTCGTGTCAGATAGTACGGTTCGTGCATCCGACTGTATCGCAGCTAGAAGAAAGAGAATTAATCCTATTTCGATTTGCTAAGAATACGCTTCAGAATTTCAACGTTCTGTTGAATTCTAAAGCACAGAAAAACTAGGGTAGTATCATTTGATTAAATTTCAACCAGGCGAAATTTCGAAAACGACTTGACTAACATCTTTCAGTCCGGTATAGCTGGGAATGTCCTCCGCGGCGTGGATAAACAAACGTCGTCCACGGAACGCCACCACATTCTTGTCCCAAGACTCCCAACATACCGGCGTCACGAGGCCAGGGGGAGCCAGAGGATACATCGCCATCCCAATGGGGGCCGAACCCTTCATCCAATCGTATATAAGCCGAGTATTTATACGCTAACTTCGCACTGAATGTCAGAATTTCGGGGACGGAATAGCTCTGCTGCACATCCATAAGTCCTGGTCTATAAAGAGATATCGGTGGGGGCGGAGTTTCTTACTTAACTAAGCCTGAGCTCCAAACGGATGAAACCCACTGTTGGGCCAGTCGCTATGGCAGCCTACGAGTATGGCAGCTAGCGACAGTCCCGCTTCCGGTGCACGGCTCAGTGGTGCACAATATCGCACCCACTCACGCCTGCACGCACTCGCTCAGTCGACGCCGAATCACTGGCCTCGACTCCGCCTTGCCACACCTACGGCATTACGTCTCGGCCAATCAGCGTTCGCCATTCGCTCGTGTTGGATCTGCCCAGTGCCGCATTAGGCTTTTCTATGTTACGGCTCGATATGCCGCTTGTTCATGATTTAGTAATCACTCTCACGCTGTGCTGTACACTAGCATACGCTTATCGAGCCTTCACGTGCTTTGTATTTTGGTTGTTGCCTTATTGATTCCTCAATAAAGCCTTTGTTCTCACCATCGTGAGCCTTTGTTTGCCAGCTGTCACATGATAGCATATCGTTGAGTTTTCCTTCAACGGACCATTTGAGAAGACGGTGTAGAATTACAGCCGTAACGGCCGACGAGAAGAAAGGGGAGAATCGGTAAAACGGTTCCTATCCCCATCTGATCGCCGCCAGCCAGAACGGTCTGGTCCCTCTTCTCTCTCTTGCGGGCAGAAAGCCTCAGCGGACTCTTCTCTTGCGTGCGGACGGAACGATCCGGCGTTTACGGCCAGCGGAACGACTTGGCCCGGGTAGACTTGCGGACGGAACGTTCCTGCGGAACCCTCACAACATCGGACGGAACCCTTTCAAGCCTCAACAACGGGGTCGCCTTTGCTTTAAGTAGCACCCGCAACTTTACCAACACTTGCGGGAGGATTTCACCCGGAGAATCCGGCGGATCGACCCTCACGGACTTCACGGACGGCACCCAACCCGTGCCCACCCGGTAAATAGGTCTTTAAGACCTTCGTAGAGCCTTAAGAACCCGATAGAACCGGGCGATTTTTATTTTCCACCGACGAAAACTAGTTTCGTACGGCTAGAAACCTTTTTCACCCGGAAAAACGGGCTTAAAACATCTATTTTCGGGTAGATTTAGGGTTTAGCCGGCCTTACTAGGTCGAACCCTCGAGCCTCGGTGAAGACCCTTAGAACTTGGGTTTTCAACCTTTTCCAACTTTCGGAAAATTAAGGGAATAACTTTCCCCCGGCCAAATCAATTTTTGGTCGGCTAAATTAATTTTTCTGAATTTTTGTCGATTTTTCCGGATTTTATTTATCGCGGAAATTAATTAATTCAAATTTTAAAATAATTGTGACGTCACGTTGGCCGAAATCCCATAGTTAAGACCAGCCAATCAGAATCGCGGGGAAATTCCCTGTGTTAAAGGACCGTAGTGAGTCACTGTTTTTTCGAAATTTGCACACGGCACGCAGAATCGTGACGTAGGCAGTAATCCGCAAGACCACTTAACAGTGTGACGTCATAGCGGTCAGTACGGTAGTATAGGACGTACGTAAGCTCTACCCTGTATTAATACCAGTACTGAGTTGCAAGTAGTACAAGTACATACACTACATCATCCCCACCCCACCGGACCTTCGGACCCTCGGACCGTAAAGGCAAAGACCCTTCATCACGGACGTCCCCAATTAGGGACAAGTCCGGACTTCATCGGCCGAAGGGATAACCCGGAGGCTAGTTCACGGCTCCAATAGAGCTGTACTTGGACATGTCTGGGCGGGAGGACATCTACGCTCGGAAGTTCGACCAGAGTTACGCCCCACGTGACCAGGCTGGTGGGTACACTTTCCGCCACGCCGGCCCGGGCAACCCGGAGCCCAAATCAACAGGCTCCAATCGGTCGACAAAGTCCGACAAATCGGACAAGTCACCCAGCTCAGCCAAGGAGAAGCGTGACCAGCGGATCCTGGGAGCCGGTTCAAACCAATCGCCGGAGGATAGCTTCGAGGACGCCCATGACCGGACGTTCTTGGAGCCATCACAGGCTGAACCGGAGGTTCTGCTTGGCCCAATAGGCCAAGACATGGTGAACCCGGAGCCTGTAGTGGGACATGGGCACCCAATAGGTGCCATGCCAAGCACTTCTCCGGCTAAGTCCTCGGACAGTGGAGCCTCGGACCCGACACTAAGCAGTGCCGCGGAGTCACCGGACATGGGTGACCCGGTGTCACCCCAACAGGGTGGCATGGGAGCCGGAACGGACCCGAGGCAGACCCAGAAGAGCCCCAACCAGACTGGAGGGAAGGTTCCACCGGCCCGGGAGGTGACCCACAAAGCGGGTTCACCGGTCAAAACCCCGGTATCCCCGGGTGGAAACCCTAAGTCTCCGGGCAATACCCGGAAATCAACATTCCCGGACCCGAAACGGACCTCGGGGACTCCGAAGATGACGTCACCGGACCCGAAGCCCCGGACAGGGACCCCAACTCGGACCTTGGACTCACCAAGGCCGACTTCGGGAAGCCAGAAGTCGTCATCGGGGACATTGCAGCCGGGCAAGACCCCTAACACCGGGGCTCGGACCCCGACCCAACAGGTCGGAACTCCGAAAAACCGGTCTGCAACCCCTACTTCTCCGGCCAAAAAGGCCATTTCCCCGGTTAAGTTCCGGTTTTCACCGTCCGGAACCGAAGGAACCTCGGCCACCGGGCTTCGGACCCCCGTCACCGGGCCTTCACCGGGAAGCGAACCCATCTTGACCAAAACGAGCCGGGTGGAATCGTCTCGGAAGTCGAAATCCGCGTCGCCTCAGAAGGAGAAGCCGACAGAGGACCTTCCACCGACCCCACCCATGTTCGAACCCTCGGAACCCCGGGCTAGTAATAATAATAATAATAATAATAATGGAGTTTAATGTCCTTGCAACGAGGCGTTAGCCCCTCTAGGCTTCAGACAGCAATCAAACAAAGACGAGATCTTTGTAAACCGATAGCGACAACAGTATTCAGCCATAAGAAAACTTCACGTAATTTGAAATTGTCGACATTTTCTAAATGAAATTCATACACTTAGGCAGAAAATTAGTAAACCCATTCCCTAACGAATACGTTTGACGGCCAGATCTTAGGGTCCAAAATCTTTTCGCAAGCTTCCTTGAAGGTTCCAACACGGGCAAACGTTGACGTTCTTCTGTCCCCAGGGGGAGGGACAAAAACGCTCACAAATCTTGTAGCAATCCCAGCTGCGGTTAGCTGATCCGATATAAAGGTGTTATACTCTTTGATGTTAGAAATTTCGAATTACCCAAGCGAGGAATACCTCGTACACAAAAATCAGCATGAGGCTTACGGTTGCAATGCAAAGCCTGGATCAAAACGTTCGCTTGCTCACCATTTCCTACATCAGCATCCTGTTCACCACGAATAGTCTTCGGTTGTCGTTTCGTTACAGCAGCATACGATGGAGTTTTCACAGAGGCAATCGGCCCAGTAGCAGCTTGCTTGGTGGTGGATTCAGCGGGCTCGCCATCAATATCTTGAATGTATCCCAGCAGCCGGGGTGGGGATGACCCCGGCCCAACCATGAGTTTAGGGATATTGATCTTACGTGGCTTCCACAGTTTTCCTTCCTTTGCCATAGCTTTTCTTTCAGCTACCAGCGCCCGAGCTCGATCACGAATTCTGGGGTCCTGATATCCGAAATTTTCCTTTATAGTCTGCACAACGTGGGGATCGTACATTCCAGCCTTAACGCTACCGTTGGTTGCAATATCGTGGTCCACACCAAACCCAAGTTCTTCTTCTTTTTTGCATTCCAGTAAATACACACGCTGCGACAAATCATCAAGGGCATCATTGAACTTGTTGACATTCAAATTCTGCGTAGTTATCTCACAGTTTTGAGGAGAAGCAACAGACAAATCAACGCTCGGTGACGACCTATGCTTTTTCAACAGGCCCGTTAAGTACACATTCTGGGCTCTCAGGGTGTCAATCTCCGATTTCATACTTTCCACAGAGTTGACAAACTTTTCAAAATCTGGTAGAAAAGTTTTCCAATTCATCTGGGATCCCGAAAAGTCGAAAGAATACGAAGAATCACCCATTTTATAAAATATTCAAAAATATTCGTGTTGTAAGAAAGAGTGGATGACGAGAAAGAGTGGATGACGAGAAAGAGTGGAAAGAGTAGTAAGACACCGTCACCGACTGATGACGTCTTCGACGATACCGTGTTGCCCAATCAGACGACCGGACGTCCGGACAGCTCGCAAGGGTTCTTCCGAACTCCCTACCGAAGCAGTACCCTGGTTCCCACATTGGAGTCTCGGACTACACCCCTCACCGATACCTAACGAAGACTCCACCGGAGAAGATCCATGATCCGGAGGTCCTCCGTCAACGGATCTACGAACTGCAGAATCAACTCGTAGCCGCCAATAACATCGTGGAGTCGACGGAAAACGTCTTATCTCAAACGGTGAACAGCCATCAGCGTGAGCGCAAGAAGCTTACGGCTGACCTAGATAGCGCGAACATCGCTATCGGCGACCTTACCCAACAGATCCAACGGTTAGAGGCCCAGTTACAAGCAACTGAAGCGCCCTGCCGATATGACGAGAACGAAATCGCTCGACTCCAGGACATGCTGGAGCAGTCTCGCGCTGAAGTGGCCACCCTTCGCTATGACTTGGAGGAGCGGTTACTGACCCTTAGCGACTCGGAGGCTACCTCGGCCTACCTGCTGGACATGCTGGGTCGGGTAGATAAATACCGGGAGGAGAACAACCGGTTAAAGCAGGGCATTATCGGCCTGGAGGGAGAAATTGACGAGCTCCAATCAGAGCTCGAAGTCCTCCGGCAGGCCTATGAGAACCTCCGACTGAATCAGAACGACCCGGAGGGTATAGCCGTGGACCTTCGGCTATGCCAAGCCCAACTCACCGACCAAATCTACGGCCTCAACGACCATCTTCGGAGCGAAACCGCTCGGTTTGAGAATGACCGAAGAGAGAACCTCAAGGTCATCGAGGCTCAACGAGCCCGAATTACCCAACTGGAGGCCAAAGAGAAGGAGTTTATCGAGTATTTGAACGAAATGTTCGAGTACAACTGCGAAGCGGCAAAGATCATCCGCGGATACCTCCAAGAAAAGGAAGAACGGGACATCGAGGTGGCCTGCCTCAACGCAGAGAAGTCCTACCTCGAGGAGTCGCTCAACGAGCAACCCCCGTCATATCAGACCACTCAGGTGCAGGATAAGTGTCATCAGATTGATGACTACCTGCTCCGGGACAACCCCCTGCTTGGCCCAATAGGCCAACCGGGGATGTCCACTGACCAAACCTATATGGTCGGAGTCATCCAGGGCGAGCCGCTGTCCACCGGGAACATACCGCGAAGGCCACCAATCCCTTCGGCCCCGGAGCCAGAACGGAACACTTCGACGGCCACGTCCAACGTACCGACCCAATCCACGGCAACAACAACCATGGCCTTCGGGGGAACGTCCGCAAGTGTGATGTTCTCAACCGGCACCAGGCCCGCGGCATCAACAGCACCCAGACCGAACCCGGACACCCGACAACAGGGTCAACCCGAGGCTCAAACCCTCGAGCCCCGGCTGCCGGGTCGGATAACTTCGGCAATGGAACCGGATCCAGGCCACCGCTGAACTTCCCAATAGGAGGTCTACAGCCTGACTCGGCAATTTCCGGCGACGACCGAGGAAGGGCTAACTCGCAGAACGCGTACCCATCCCTAGCCCCACCACAACCAGCTCAAGGAGGACAAAGAGACTGGTCCGACCCGGAGAACCCCGGCTACCCGGCTAACCAGCCTCATCAGCTTCGGCAGGGCCCAATAGGTCCAGCGCCGCAGGTTGACCGGTATCTGGTAGTGCCACCAGGGATGTGGCTCGACCAGAACGGAGTCCTCCAGATGATCCCCGGCTATGGAGCGCAGAATCCTCCGCCGAACCAAGGGTATGGAGCACAGAACCCTCCGCCCGGGCCAGGACAGCCACAACAGCCGGCGCCCCCGGGAAACCCGAACCCTCACCCTCAACCGAACCCACCTCAACCAGCCCCGGCCGCGCAACTGCAGCATGTACCATACGTGCCGGCCTTGTATCCTCCGGTAGCCCAACAGGCACAACCGGCGATACAGGCCTATCAGCCCGCGGTACTCGAACAGGAGATTGAGCAAGCCCGACAAGAGGGCTACCAAGAAGGCCGAAACCGGTACGAAGAGCGAATGGCTCGGATCGCAGCCAAGAAGCTCCGGGGCGACCTGCCGAAATTCGACGGCGATCGATCCAAAGTGGAGGGGTGGATCACTAAAATCCGGCGAATCTATCGCCAGGAGGCGGATGACATGGGGATATCCAACACCGCCTTCATGAACGAAGTGGAGAGCGTCCTCACCGGGCAAGCCTTGGACTGGTTCCAGAACCAGTCGGCCCTGGAACCTGAGGAGAACGGCTGGCCGGTAGAATACTGGCTCCAGCAGTTCGCAGCCCGCTTCGCGGAGACAGATAAGCAGGTGACGGCGATAGCGGACATCACCAACCGAAAGTACAAGTTCGGGCAAGAGACCCCGGAGCAGTGCTATGATGCTATCATTAACCTCCAACAGCGAGGCAACCTCAGCGATCAGCTGGCCGTCCACTACCTGCGGGCAAACGTCTTGGAGCCGAACCTACGGGCGGCCTTGGACATCCGAATGCCTAAAACCACGCAGGAGTTCCGCGACTACCTTCGGGATTTCACCCGGGGAAGGCCGATGTATGAGGTTCAGAAGGGTGGCATACCACCAATTACATCACCGTCAGAACGGCGACGCCCATCTCAGCAACTCAACAGGCCCCCGGCTACATCCAACCCAGTTCGCCAGGTTACCAGAACGTGCAACCAGGGCTTCACCGATCAAGCCCTCCGGCGACACCCCCTCCTCAAGCCCGAGCCCAACTCGATCAAACTTGGGCAGCGATGGCGGCGATGAACCTTAACGGGTCCCCAATAGGGACCGCGGTTCCGCCGCCCGCTTACGGAAATAGTGGCCAACCGAGTCAACCTCGGAGCCCCGGCTACGGCCAACCTCAGAGCCAGGGTTACTCCGGCTATGGCCAGCCCCAACAGGGCTACAGCCAGCCCCGGAGTCCCGGCTTCAGTCAGCCTCAACAAGGCTTCGGCCAACCCCAACAGGGTTACGGCCAGAACTCCGGTTACGGTCAACCTCAGAACCAGGGGTATGGCTCTGGAGGCGGATGTGGAGGCGGTGGAGCCCCACAATATGGAGGCTTCGGCAGAAGACGTGGCGGCGGGAATCGCGGTCGCGGAAACTTCGGCAACCGCGGAGGCGGAGGTGGCCCGGCGCAGAATGCCCAACGGCAACCCCGCACACCACAGCAGGAGGCTCGCCAACTAGCGACCTACGTCGATCGGATGGAAGCAAAGTTCTTCCAGTGGACACAGGACGGAACGATCTCGTGTTCCCACTGCATGTGGGGCAACCACAACCAAGCGAGTTGTGGGGATGCCGGACTCCGGGAACAGGACAACCTCAACCGGAGATGGTACAACGACTGGCGGTACCGTTATGACAACGGATGGCCACTGGGTTCGGCGAATCCGAACTACGCCAGCATAGTGCCACCACCGCGACCCCGTCAGCAGAATGCCGGCGGAGGAAATCAGCAGCCTGCCCAAGGGGGCGGGGCAAACCGTCAAAGCGGCGGTCGGGCCCCGTTGGCGAGTCCGCCACCAGGCCAGCGGCCGCAGTTGCCGCCTTCCCCGGCTCCAAATAGGAGCCAGGGTAGGTTTTCACCGGTAGCTGGCGGGCCGGCCCCGGGAACGTCCCAGGGAAACGGCTAAGGTCGATGAGCTCCGGTGACTCATTCGACCTCCGTCATCCAACGGAACCACCGGATAAGGATAACCCTACTAACCGGATTAACCCTTTGGACACAACTCGGAATGACAGCTTGGATTTAGCCTCCGCAACGGTCAGCGAAGCTTCCACAACCTTGGCGGCGGGGACGGTAGCCCAACTAGGCACCGGACTTCCCCGGTTCGGAAACTCGGAGAACCGACCCGAACCTCGCAGTACCGATAATGCGGCTCCCGGACCAGAAGAGGTACCCGGGGGGATCGGCCAAGGAACTTTGGCCCGATCGGCAGGAGCAAGAAATGCTCCACCCGGCCCCAGAAGAGGTGCCGGAGGGGTCGGCCGAGGAACTCGGAACCGACCGGCCGGGACGAGAAACGTCACCGAGCCGCCTGGAGGGTTCAGTACCCAATTAGGTACTACGAACCCCGGGCTCAGCGGACAACCGGGACGCCGGCCCGCAACCTCGCAGGATGCCAGAATGACATCCGAACCGTCACCGGTAGGCCAACCGGGAGGACGGCCCGTCGAAAGAACGGAAGATCCCACCGTACGAGCAAAGACTCCGGAGGGATGGGAATCAGTCCCACTGGAAGTACAGGTACCCGTCTACTCTCGGCCGGAGGAAGCGGACCTCTTCCAACGCCAGCCAGCGAGAACTGTAACTGGATCGCGCACGTTCTTCAACATGCAGTATAACCTACCGACGCTGCGGGAAGGAGAACCAACCATGGAAGAACTGATCAACAGCCGAATAGCCCCGGTAGAAACCGCCGAAGCACTAATGGACGGAGTAGCTAACCGACCAGAGGTGCAACACTCGGTCAACGAGGTTTCACCGGGCCGACCAACCCCGGCTGAAGGACTTATCCGACGCAACCGAGCCTCGGATATGGCTGGAACACTGGTCGTCTACCCACAAGACGGAGTAGACTCAGTCAGACCTGCCCAGCAACCCTTGCAACCGCCGCGTGTAGACACCGATAGTGTACCCGGCGAATCAACCCTAATTCCGGTGGAAGTCACCATACGGGAAGTGACCTTCCAACCGCATTCGTCCACCGGCCGACCGAAGGTAGTCCGGGCATGGACCCATGAAGTCCAGATTGGACCGACCACAACTATGGCAATGTTGGACACCGGAGCCGAAACAACCCTAATAGAGGAGCGTTTCTGCCGGGCCAACAACCTCAAACTCGAATCCATGGGGTGCTACACCAAAATCCTCGGTGTTGGCGGACAACTAGCCTTCATAGTGACCCATTGCTGCACCGTACCGGTAACGCTGCAAGGGTACACTAGCCCCCATACCTTCCATGTTCAACCGAACAACTCGGATGTTCCAGTCCTACTTGGATGCGACTACCTGCACTCCAAGTTCGTTCTCACCCGGGCGCCGACCCCCAATGAGGGTCAGCGGAACCCATCTTCGGGTGTAGTGCAGCCTATCCCGATACCAGAGGCATCGGGCACGGCAACGAATCAGGCTCGGATAAATCGGATTGATCACCCGACGAGCCCCGTACCCTTGATCTGCCCAGAATGCTCGGCCACCGAACGAAGCCTCATAACGGAGCTGCAAGTCCACAACGCCATCGAACAGCACATGGCCAAAGTACGGACAACCCGACTGGAACCAATTAAAGGGATATTAAAGTCTATCCCGATACCAGAGGCATCAGCCTCTGGTATACTCATACAAAGGTACCGGACATGGTTCATCGGCATTCGACACTTCCTAGAGACCAGAACGGTCGACATCGTGAATGAGCTGGGACGGGTCGGCGCGAGAACCGACGACCAGATCCGCCAAGCCAGGGAGGAATGTCAGACGGTGATCAACCTCACCGAAGCCTTAGAAGAGGAGATCATTGAATGGGAAGAGGATCGAATTGTACTCCACGCACAATTTGCGGAACATCAGCTCCCTATCCCGCCGATACTTGAGATCCAAGCCCACGAACTGGGCCGGCGACTCTTCTGGCACTTCAGAGACCCATATCACCTTGGTACACTGGACACTCCTTCATTTTGGAGCAAGTTCGGTGAAAATACCCGGATAACCCGAGTCGTACCGGACCCAGAACCTCCAATTGAACCTTGTAATTGGCACCAGGCCAAGAAAGTGAGGCTTTGCGGGGACGTACACCCACAAGAAGGGGGTCGTCTAGCTAACACGCGGGCCTATCTCCCGGACCAGGAGTACATGGCCTTAGAATGCCCGATCTGCCGTCAGAACAACGGACTGATCGTCCAAGCCCTCAGAACCCGGAACGAACAGGTCTGGGAGCATGGAAGACCACCTTCACCCGCACCTCCCGAACCAGAAAGGTGGGTAGGACCGGTCCAGGAGACCCCAAATAGGGTTACTGACGGCCTACTAGGACCTCACGGGGACTTAGCCGAAGGAGAAGCCGAAATCGACTTCGAAACCCCGGACTCGGATGTTTCGGACGTCCAGAGTACAAGTGACTCACCGGACACCGACTCCGACAATGAACCCTCGGACCCCTCGGATGAAGAATCGTCCGACGAAGACGATGAGGATGACGACGAAGACGATAACGACATCGGCTTCGACCCGTCGGTCCGATGGGTAGGGATTGACACACCCTCGGACGGACCCCCAGAAGGTGGACCGCCCGGCCATAAACCCTCAAAAGAAGCCAACGAGCCTCGGAATGAAGGTTCAGGCCATCAACGGGCCGAGTTAACCGCAATTACGGTTTCTCGCCCGGCTAACAGCCAGTCAACCTCGGCTACGTCAAGTGATACCGGCTTAGACCCGGACATCGACCCCTCCGAAGACGAAACATCGGAGGGAGGCTCGACGGACGAAGGATCCGACACGGAACGACGGGTACCTTTAACCGACGACGAACATATTGCCCAACAGGCGACATTCGTCGGAGGTAAGCCCGTCGTATCCGGCCAAACCTTGGCACCCGAGGCTCAAGCCTCGGTGAAATCGGCTAAGTCCAAAAAGACCGTATACAATCCATGGAAACGGGTTAAGAAGCCGAAGCCAATAGCGACGGCGAGCGAATCTAACCCAACGGTCAAACGTCTTCACGTGCATACGGAGGATAAGGACGACGACCGGCAACCGGTATTCGTCGAAAATAAGTCCACACTACCTCCGTACTCAACCTGTGCCATACTGGTACGAACCCTTAAAAGTATGGATCCTAAACGGAGTATCCGGTACGAATCATTCCGGCGAAAGCACTCCGGAATTCGTCCGATAGAAGATGACATCGAGATTCGACCAACCTGCGACACGGCTTGGATCAAGGTCCAGAACGCGACCGAGTACAGCCAGACACTTCGCAGGGGCGCTAAGATCGGTTACATGCACTACTCGGATACCTACGAGTACGAATTCGACAATGAAGGCATCGAATGGGAGATTCCCATGGGAGTTGCCCGGGTCGAGAAGCATGGAGACCGACCATACAACCTTTCGAAGGCGACACAATATGACGCCACTACGGTTCGGACCCAACAGAAGGTTGAGCTACCACCCCGGGCAGTCGTGGAAGTCACGGTAACCATCGACCTGGAGGTGGACACCACCAAGCACAAGTACCTCATGTACCTCGGCTCGGAAGAAGCCTTAGCGGAGGGCATTGAGATGAAGGATGGTCCAACCCCACACGACGGGAAGAAGTTCACCATCCTGGTGGCCAACCATAACAATAAGGAGGTCATCATCCGGAAAGGAACCCCTATGGGCCGGATCGAGCCGTACGAACACATGACGGACGACCGGAGGGCCCGGGTCAGACTTGCCCAATTAGGTGAGGAAGACCCGGAAACCCTAGAAGAACAGAAGAAGGCCATCAACTCCATGAAGCTCGGAGAGAACCTCACCGACGAGCAGCGACAAGTCTTACGGGACATCGCATGGGAGTATCGTTTGGTCTTCCTGACCTCGAAGCGACCCTACGGTGACGTCAAGGGAGTCACCCACGTCATCGACGTCCAAGGCGCGAGGCCCATTAAGATGAATCCGACCAGAACGAGTTGGAAGGGTCGCGAGTTCATCTCCAAACACGTCCAAGAGATGCTGGACCAAGGAGTAATTGAACCCTCCGACGCAGCATGGAGCTTCCCCGTGGTCTTGGCAGCCAAGAAAAACCCGGACGGCTCCGTCGGAACCAGGTTCTGCATCAACTATATTAAGTTGAACGCAGTAACCAGGAAGAACAACTACCCCCTTCCCAACCCGGACGAGCTACTAGATCAGTGCGCCGGGATGGAATTCTACGGCAAGGTAGACTGCCAGTCCGGCTTTTGGCAAATCCCAATGGACGAAGCCTCTAAGGACATGACAACCTTCGTAACCCCGGAGGGCATGTACCGCTTCAACACCAACCCCCGAGAACAGAACGCCAATTGCGGTCGTTCCTCGGGTTGGCTAACTACTATCGGAAATTCATCCGCAACTATGCTCAGAGGACTTCAAAGATGTATGAACTCCTCCGGAAAGCCCACTCCATCCGGACAGATTGGACGGACGAGCATACAGCGGAGTTCAACGGCATTAAGATAGCCTTAACTACAGCCCCGGTACTCGCAAAGTTCGACCCGTCCAAGAAGACGGTAATCGAGTGCGATGCCAGTGGAGCCGGACTTGGCGCGGTGTTGTCACAAGAAGACCACCCTGTAGCTTTTGCCAGCCGAGTACTCCACGGAGCTGAAAAGAACTACGGAGTCACCGAATGGGAATGCCTAGCCGTAGTTTGGGCCGTGCAGAAGTTTAAACACTTCATCGACCATGGACCCTTCACCGTCCGAACGGACCACCGAGCCCTACAGAACTTGATGCGCTGTGAGTCCAATAGACCCGGCATCAACCCCCGGCTAACCCGGTGGGCATTGGCTCTGCAAGGCAAGGACATCACCATCGAGTATAAACCCGGAGTCTTCTGCGACAACGCGGATGCTCTGTCTCGATGGCCGTTGGAACGACCCGACGATAATG